ATAAAATCAGAAACAATCTGATTTCATGGAGCTGAGACGAACATAGAAAGGTTGCTTATATATAAACTGCTCTTTAAATGTGGATGAGAATGAAGCAAAGCAAATTAGCAAGTTTGATTTGATGTTTGGTCATGAAAGCTTTCAATGGAAATCGATATTTCCAAACGAATAAGCTAGTCGGTAAGTCGCCAAGCAATCCATCATTGGGTTTGTAATGAGAGCTTCATCGTCTGATTCTGTTCCAGCAGCGTAATTCAATGAAGAGATGGGACCGGGCGATTTCCCAGATGTGAGGTCACAGAAATCTTAAACCTGCCAGACAGAAAAACCTGAACGGCTCAATCTTCAGAAAGCCGCTTCCTCTGACAACCAACACTGCAAAACCAATTTTTGTCTAGTTCCTACTGTAAATGTCTCATTACACTTAAAACAAGACAAAACTAACTTACTAGAATCTGTTCAGCGAGATATGGGAGCTTTATCTGCCAGTGACATTTTTATCCATTTTAAGGAATTACTTACTTTAAAAAAAAGCTCTTAGATGTGTCTGAAGTTAGTTTTTGTCTTATTTCATGTGTAATCAGACATTTGCCCTCGAAATAGAAATACTTGGTGGGATTTGGTGTTTTAGCAGCGAACAAAGCGTTCGCTGGCAGGAGACGATGTTCCTGATGCAAATCAGCCATTGACTGAGAACGGCCACAAAAACAAGAAAGAAACGGACTGGAACAAAATCAACACCCCGCTCAGGGACTCCCAATTGACCAAATCCCTGCGACCTGATTGGCTGCCTCCCACTCGCGTGTGTGTAGGTGAGTCATCCCTCTAGCTAGCTAGCAGAGCTGTGACACTTGCTCTCACTACAGCAATTACCCGATTAGACGAGCTGTGATCGCGGAGGGTGATTGCAGTTACATCTCACAGTTACAGTCCAAGTTTTCTGAGACACAAACTGAAGTTTACTTTCTTCTTCTTGAGCTTTTTTTTGCTTCATTGGAGCTCCTGAAACCTGATGCTCCATGCAGAGTGCAAAGCTCCACCTATCCATCTTTACTGATGGGTTTTTAGGTAGAACTTTTGCTGGACATTGTTTGTTTTTCTTGCATCTAAAGTTTTCACATGCCAGTTGACCTTTGCAAAGCAGTGTTGGATGCACAGTTAGAAACGAGGACAGCGGGTTTGTGAAGGACAAAAGAAGGAGAGTCAGGCTTATTTTTTCTTTCCAGCACAGAGAAGAAACTGGAAACATCCAGTAAGGTCTGACTGAGGACCAAAGATCTGCTCATCTAATTACTCTTTGGCTGTTTGTCTCATTGGTGCCAAAATCTAAATGTCGTTCAAAATAGATTCACCTGATATGTTTGGTCATGATACACTGAGTTCAGGAGAACGTTAAGGATTTATCTTCTGCTTGAAACAAGCAGCAAAAGTTAAGATTTTTACACGATGCGGCAGAGCTAATAGCTGAAGTCCACAGATATTTGAGACAACTTCATGGCTGCTTATTTTTATAGTTCAAACATTAAATGGACAAACGCAGGAAACCGTTTTTGGACTATTGATACTGAAGCCTGATGGGCAGGAGAGCGACTATATCAACCAGCAATTTCCCACGCAGAAACTGCAGAGCCGAATATTTCTGGTGCAGATGGACAGAGATTATTCCACTTGTTTTAAAAGCCACAGAGCGACGGCGCAGAAATAAATGTCAGAAACGATTGTACCATCAATGCATCGGTGACACTTTACTTTAATCTGGAGCCTTGTTTCAGGCCTCTAACACGTTACTATTTACAATCCAATAATCAGATTAAAGCTATGCATCTTGTAGCATAATGAACACTCATTTTATCATTTGCCTCACAACTAGCAGGATAAAGACTCTGGCAGCACAAAGGCAACCAGATTGTGATATATTTTATTGGTCAAAATGCATTGATTGATGCAATTGAACAGGTTCTGCCTCTTTCTAAAACCGAAGTAAAAAAACATAAAATTGGACTCAGAACTTATAAATAAATAAAAAAGATGCTTTTCATATCATTTTTACGATGTGAAAAGCCTCAGTGTCATTTTCCAGCTCTGCATTCAGTAACTTTCCAAACATGAAAAACACTAAAGGCTTTTTTTCTCCTGTCATTTTCAGCCACAAACATTTAACTAAAATATCTTCTGTGTTTGTGTCTCTGCAGCCTGACGGATTCATGTATTTACAACAGACACTAGTCATGCACAGCATCAGAATGTGAATTAACTAACTTTAAAAAAGTGTTTTTATCTTACAGAATGAGAATTTATATATTATAATACATCATCTGTATCTGTTTACTGTGTGACTTGTTTCTGATAACATCATTTATTTTGAAATGCTTCTCTTTTCATGTCTCCTAACCAATTAGCCTTATAAATAGTGTGGAAATAATGAAAAAAATATAGAAACGTTGAAAGAAATCAACCTGACATCAGTCCTGACCTGGTCTCCTTTTGGGTTCTATTATAATTAATATATTTTTTACATCTTCACACCCTGTTCTTCTCATAATTAAATAGTTTATTTAGCAATTAAAACCAGTTAATACATATTTCAATAAACAAAACAAAGACCTCACCAGAGCTTCTGCACCTTTCAGCATCATTCTGGCACGGCCATTCTTCTGAACGTAAAATAAAATAAAATAAAATTGCTGCTGTTTCATGTCATTCTGATGAGATAAAACTTTGTGTCTAGAGTCGCTAACATTTAGACAAAGTTAGTAGTAAACATTTAATGTGACTATCTCCAATATTGGGGGGGGACACGACCCCCTCGTCCCCCCCGGTTCCTACGTCTTTGCCACAGAGCATTTGGTTTCTCGATCTTATATGTTAGCAGAGTTTAGCCATTTCCACATCATCGGCGATGCATGCATTTCCAGATGACTGCCTGTTGCAGTAAACAAAGCCGTTATTTTCCCTGAGCATCCGCCACTCCTGTAATTGCTCTGAATAATGAGAAGCGTTTTGGTACAAGTGAAGTTGAGGAAAATCCAAGCTGAGGAATTCAGTGGAAGGTTCTCATGTTGTTTTATGGTAAATAATGATACAGTAGCGCGCTGGGCGTCTGTCCTGCTGTCAGAGCAGCTGCTGAGCCTCATTTTTTCCAATGCAGCTGCTAACCACAGTGATTACTGACCATACGGCTCCTAAGTGCTGCTTATCCAAACTCCTCTTGAGGTCAATTAAACCTTCAGCGTTATCGCTTTTACATCCACCTTCCTCTGTAGCTGCTATTTATCCTCTTGTCCTGTCATCATCCTTTTCCTCTACTCCCACTTTCATTCATGCCACTCAGTTTCACCCTTAAAATTTGTTTTTTCTGCTGCCATCTTTTTCTTAAATTGCAAATGAATGACGAAGAAGCATACATAACCAAAACGGCTCAATACCATTGTTTAGTGAGTGCTTCTAAATTCAGATAAAAAAATATAAATAAAAATGAATCATTGTTCAAGGAGTTAATTTCTGTCATCAGACAGGAAGCAGCGGGTGTCTCACAAATAACTCGCATAAAATAGAATTTGATATACTGAATTTTGAAATAAGTCAAAAACAGCTAGCACGCTATACCAACTAATGCTAACGATGACTAGCATTGGTTTTAGCTGTCAACATAATGTACTTAATTTACACATGACGTGTAAATAATAAAAGGATGCAGTAACTGACAACTTGATAACAAGGTCAGGAAAAAGTTTTAGTTAAGAAAAAAAAAAATAGCGAGGGAAAGAGAAGTAGTTCCGCTATGCTAGCTTGACTATGACGACAAAAACATGATGGTGTGCTGTGGAATTCTGTGTTTTTTGGTTCAGTAAAACATTTTTTAAAAAAGGCAACATAAACACCAACTTTGACAGGTCATCAGTAGGGCGGGTGTATAAATTAGCTAGTCAGCCACCACTGTGTTAGCTTAGCTGATAGCAGCTGTCGCTAATCTACCACAGAGATCACTTATTAATAATTACAAATTGCGCTAAAATAGTAATACCTACATCTCCAGGGTTCATTTAGCCCAGAGTTGTTCTACCATAGCAGCTCAGCTGCATGGTGAGTAAAGGAATCGTCTTTTTGCCCTACTTCTCTTTCCCTCGCTGTACCATGTAAAAAATAACACGCAAGAAATCTTTTAGAGCTGGCCTAGTTTTTCCTGTTAAGTGTCTAAAGATGATACAAAAATTTAATTAGCTAGCAGAGGTAGGAAGAGCTAACTAAAACATTAGCTTATGCTAAAAATAACTAATTATAAACGTTATTCCTCCTAATGCTAATGCTGCTTTACCAACATAGCATGTCACAGAAGCTAATGGCTAATGCTAAAGCTAAGTTAGTTGAAGAGCTAATGCATTTGTTCAACACCCCAACACGTTAGTGTTGTATTTTTATCCCTGTACCTTGTTTGTTTAATCATTCTTTAAATCAATAAAGTTTATTTAAAGAAAAAACGCGAGGAAGCGCAATTATAAACTGTCAAAGTAAGAGCGCAAATATAAATGTATAAAAGAAATGTCAAACTTTAAATTAATAATTTAGAATGTATCCAGAAAAATTAATTTAGGGGAAGCGTAGTTGGCTAAATGTTGTTTTAAAATAGCAAAAATTCTGAAATGCTGAACAAATAATTAGCTCTGCTATTAGCGCATTACTGCGCTGCTAGCTAATGTAAACAAGCTAAGCTAAGCAAAGCTAACAAGCTAATGATATAAACAAACTAAAATGAGAAGAAATGGAAGAGAGTAAGGGGAAGAAATCTAGAATATGTGATAGTCGTGGATTATATGAGAGCCGATAAGACAAACCCAGATCTGCAGCAGTGACTATGTCATCGGTCTGGAGGCTAAACCACTAAAAATATGACCTTATTTGGATTCTGTGGAGTCCATATTTTACCTGCAAATGACAACTGCTTGGAAAAACCCCCAGACCGAGCCATGAGCTGACAAGCAGGATATGCTAACGACACCCACCTTGCAAGCAAGACGCCTTTTATGCAGCAGATCATCTACGTCCATCTCATCCTCTGTCACATTTTCCTCTGCAAATCGTCCTTCATTACATCAGGAACCCTGAAACTGTTTCCTCTGTTCAGTATTCAGCGTTCATGCCCAGTTTATCCACTATTTTCCCATGAATGTGTTAGGATCATCTCAGCCTGCTAACTGCTAACCCTGCCACCTCCTGTCTTTGGTTAGCAAACATTTCCTTTCGCTATGGCTCTCCCCCCAGAGTGTCACAAACAAGGGGGCAGCACAAGGAGTAGAAAAAAAGAAGAAACTATATATCAGCTGCAGCTGCAATAAATTTGGTGTTGCGTATTAGGTTCGGTTTAAATCCAAAAGTCAATCAGGAGAAACTGGATCAACGTTTCCAAGGAAACCAAATCAATACAGGTCAGAAGTTTACATACCCTCACATCAGTTTGGGGCTTTTGATGATAAATCTGAACGATTCTTTTGATTAAGTAATAAATCTGCAATGAATGTTAAAGAAAAGAAATTTAATTTTAATTTATTTGATAATAATAATAATAATAATAATAATAATAATAATAATAATAATAATAATAATAATAATAAACCATTTTATATATAAATTATTCTCTTAAAAATTGCTGGAAAAATTTTAAATCCTGGTAAAATTAATACTGACCCTCAGCATGATGCTGCCACCACCGTACTTCATAAAGCTGTTATAATCTAAATGTAGTTGCTTGACAAGACAATCAAAATAATCCTGTTAAAAAGTGTATTTATTTTTGTTTTTTTTCATGGGGACATTTATTTATTTAATATAGTATTTATTAATTGCAGAACTGTGACAGAAAAGCAACTAATTAAAATATGCAACCAGTTTTCAGCTTTAGAATAATTTAAATTATAAGGAAACTTCTGACTGTTTTTATTTTTATTTTACTTTTTAAACAGAGTGCCCAGAAATCTGATGTAATTTTACAGAACCAACCTGGAGGGGGTAATAATCCATCAGATTAAATCAAATTATCACCTGATTTAATCTGAGGTCAAAACACGTTTAAAGCTCTTATTTCCTCATATCCAGTTATTTTAAGCCAAACTTCTACATTTCCTCTTCTGGACCAAAAACCGGGATCTAAAAAGTTCGAAACAACTTCAGGTCGGATTCCTTCAGCCTGAGCCGAACCGAACCGAACCGGTCCGAAACCACAGCGAACCGCGGGAATCACTGATCAATTATTAATTATCTGCAGGCAACAAACATGAAAACCTGCTGAGTTTGAACAAGTTAAAGGAGTAAAAATGATAGATAGATAGATAGATAGATAGATAGATAGATAGATAGATAGATAGATAGATAGATAGATAGATAGATAGATAGATAGATAGATAGATAGATAGATAGATAGATAGATAGATAGATAGATAGATAGATAGATAGATAGATAGATAGATAGATAGATAGATAGATATTTTACTCACTCCTTGCTGCTTTAAATCCTTCTCATGTCTTTTATTTCATGGCGGATCCAGATAAAAATGCCGTAAAAACAAAGCCGTCAGTTTATCGGGGAGCAGCGCAGAGAATCAACCGGAGCAACGAGACTAAAACCCGGAGAGGAGGAGTTTGATCGCCCTCTCTCTCTCTCTCGCTCTCTCTCTCTCTCTCTCTCTCTTTTTCGCTCTCTCCCTCTCTCTCTCTTTACCCCTCTCTCCCTCTCTCTCTCTTTCTCTCTCTCTTTCCCCCTCTCTCTTTCTCTCTCTCTTTCTCTCTCTCTCTCTCTTTCTCTCTCTCTCCCTCTCTCTCTGTCTCTCTCTTTCCCCCTTTCTCTTCCTCTCTCTCTCTTTCTTTCTCTCTCTCTCTCTCAGTAAAGATCCTGTTTATAATTTACTGGAATAATTTCTGTTGAACATTTTATTTCTTACTGTTATCGTGACGTTTTTCTTCTCTTACTTGAGTAAAATGTTTGTTTTCCAAAAATCCACCATAAACTCTGGACAGTTAAAAGTTTCACACATTTTTCATTCAAACAAACGGATCTGGAAACATTTTATTTTGCCTGATTTTGTCATTTTTTGTTACTTACATGAATCATTGTCATCTTGCTTCTTAAAATACCAAATTTTCCTCTTATTCTTACATTTTGGTCCTGCTGATGATGATGTCATCTTTATACATTAAACGGTTGATCATTTGATCAGTTTTCGCTCAGGTTGGATTTAAAGGGTTTCATTCTCCTCTGGTCTCACATGGGCCTGAGTCTCAGGGCGAGTCTGTTGAGACAGATGGAGTCTCCTGAACAACGGATCAGTGTGAAACGCTAACAGAGTCAGAACCACGCAGAGATGAAAGATCCTCAGCCAGGCTGATCTGCTGGGAGGCCAGGGAGCAGGAACAACAACGCGGCGCTGCAGAGGAGGAGCTGCAGAGGAGGAGCTGCAGAGGAGCTGCAGAGGAGCTGCAGCTAAATGCCTGCTATTTCAGCAATGCAGCTCGCATTCAGACAGCCATGTTTTACCAAACCAAAGAAGAAGAGATTGCTTTAATTTTTGTTTTTACTGGTTTTATTTGGCTGTCTGCCTTTTTGTCCTGGATTCACTCAACAAATTGCACTAAATAAGGTAAATTCAGCCAATGGAAGAAAGTAGTTTAATTGTGTATTATGGAAATTATAGATGTAAATTAAAAGAGGAATAAATTTATGCCAACATCCAAGCCAGTTTGTTTAGTTTTAGCAGAGGTGCGCTCTCTTCCGCTAATGCGCCGATATGGGAGCCAATTTTTCGCTTAGCAACTTTCCAAAGTTTTTAGAAGGTTTCGCACATTTTTGTCCAGTAAACATGGAGACAAAAACCTAATAATTTTGTAAGCAATTAATAAAAAAACAATATAACTACACGACAGGATGCAGAACTATAGAAAATAAGGCTGGAGCGCTATTGCGCTAATATGGGAGCTAATTATTGAATTTCCTAACTTTGAAAACATTTAGCACGATTCAGCCCTGAACACTCTGAGACTAAAACGATACATTTCTATAAACAATAAAAAAACAACAATGTGCAGACACAACAGAATAACAGAAAACAATGTAGTAGGTACGCCAGGTAGCTAATGCGCTAATAGGGGAGCTAATGTTTTGGTTAGCAATTTTGCTAACTTTGAACATGTTTAGTCCTTTATACATGGAGACAAAAATCCAATAATTTTGTACATAATCAATACAAATGTTAATTATATGACAGAATTCAGCACAATTGGGAATTATGTAATAGGTATGCTGGACCGCTAATGCGCTAATAGCCGAGCTAATTTTTAGTTTAGCAATTTTCCTCACTTTGAAAACGGTTAGCGCACTTATTTATTGGTCAGATGTTGTTTTAAACTTTAATGTGAAAATCATAATGAAGAAAAAAAAATTATTTTTGGTAATAGTCACATTTTTCCAAAATGTCAAATAAACGTAACTGACAAATATTTTTAGCGACGCATAAAACGTTGAAAGTTCATTAATGTTTGCTTCACTTTTAAGTAAGTGAGGGATGAAGAAGTTTTCCTTGGATTGAAACTCAGGGAAAATCAGCAGGAATCAGGAGTTTTATTTTTAATGTGTGTGTGTCAGCCTCAGGGTTGTGTGTGTGTGTGTGTGTGTGTCAGCCTCAGGGTTGCACTCCAACGGAAAAGACCTCAGACTGTCGGGGTCTTCCGTTCGGTTTTATTGGATTTTATTGGAACATGAGAACCACTCTGTCCTTTTTCTTTTCTCATGACTTTAGTTCATTTTCATTGAACTTTTATTCAATTTCACCTTTTTATTTAGATCAATTCATGAACACAAAATAGATTACATTTAGTTTTATGAGCACACAATAAAGTTAGTTATATTTTTCCCTATTAATTTTTATTGAAGTAAAAAAAAAAATTCTCCCATTTCAGCTTTTGTAATTTTGTTAATTTTAGTCATTTCTTAATATTAAAATATTAGCAGATTAAAAGAAAAATGAAAACTAGTTAGGCTCAACATTTCTCCATTTTATTCAAGATTATTTTTAAATTGTTTACAGTGTAAAATAAAATAAAATTCCTCCAGAACATTCAGATTAAAAAAGGAATATTTATTACCAAAACCGAAGGCGAAGCACAGCTTAAGCTCACTGCAACAGCACAGCATCATGGTTGTGTCCACAGCTCAAGATTATATCAGTAACATCCACGACTGTTAGAGATAAATATTAAAATAACACTCAAATCTACTGTGGAGCACAAAGTTTACAGACATTATTAAGAGCATCTACAGCAGGAGGGCAGCCTCAGTCATGCTCCTTTTCTTGCACTGCAGCGCCACCTAGTGCTTGCCCAGCATGGTTACAGTAGTACAATCAAACAGCAGCGTGAAATGAAACGGGCGCTTCGCATCTCTTCTCCAAAAGCCAAACAAGAACATTCAAGGGAAGATCAAACGATTCCTGGGACCCGAAGTGGAAAAGAAGAAGGTGACGGCGTCGTCCTGGGTTTTTTCTGAAGTATCTGAACTCCACCCGTTTCATTTAAAAGACAGAAACGCACACAGGTCTCTACGACTTTGGACTTTAAGATGTTGGTCGTTACATTCGACTGCTAAATCCCTGCAAGAGTTTATTTCAAGTTTAAAGGAGGAACCAGTTTTGTGTGTTTAAAGGAGAAACTTGTGCATGTTCAGAGTGGCAATCAGACGTTAGGCCTGCCTGAAGTTGGCCAACTTCTTCAAATCTAACAAAATTGGAGTCAAACGTTTGTGCAGCAGTAATGTTCGTTTGCGCCGCCATCATTTTAAAGGTACTGATCAAAGAGTTTCCAGATGTCATCATCTGGAAACTCTTTCAAAGCAAAAGCAGCACAAATTAAAATTTTGCTGCACAAACGTAGCTGCGGTCAATTAACATAGAATTTGTTTGATCTTGTGAAATTTTAATTTGATAGCGGCACAAACGTAGCACAAACATTTGACTCCAATTTTACTAGATCTGGGTAATGAGGGAGTGGGTCTTTAAACTTTAACATCTTCAAAGGAAAAACCAATTTTTTTGTTGCACAAACGTTCGGCACCGATTCTGTTGGCCAACTTCACTCAGACTCCGTTTGAGCTTCAACAAATCCTCTGATTCTGTGGAAGGACGACGTTTCTTCCAAGGTTTTTGCATCAACTCGCGCCACATGACGCAGAAACCTCTGAAGTTTGCTTCACTCAACAGAAACGAACCCGAACCCGGGCGTTCAGAACCGCTCTGGAACACAAAGGAGCCGCATGCGTCCCAAATGAAATCAGGTGGAGTTCCTGTTAAAGGGGGTCGAAACGAACACAGTTCAGGCACAGGAAGTACTAGCGCTAGAGGTCACAGGTCAGCCATGATGTTACATTTTCTCTTCCGTTTCACACGGTTCTGATTGGACATCTGTGGGTCGGTCAGGTTGGTTACGCAGCCGTAGGCACAGAGGGTGCTGCCACCTGTTGGCGGGGAAGGGTAATCCGGTGATGCGGGAGGGGGGGGGGAGAAGGGGGATTGGACAGAGCGTTGCCTAGGCAACGACCCACTGCAGGATGCTGGTGTCTTTCCCGCCGGTGGAGATCAGGTGACTGTCGTCGTGCAGGAAGGCGACGTTGGTCACATGACTGCTGTGGCCGCCGTACTCGTGACTCGGAGCCTGTTTAGAAAAAAGAGAAAGTTACATTTTTCATTATATTTTTGGTGGTTTTAAGAAAAAGGTTGTTTTTTTTTAAATGCAACGATATGAAAAATAATTTAATAGAAGTTAAAAAAAAAATTAATTACAACCGTAATTACAAAATTTCAAATTGTTTTTTGAAATGCTTGTTTTTCTGATTTTTAATTTCTCAAGCTGCACACTAGCATAGCATAGCTAGCATAGCATAGCTAGGAAACGTCCAGCAGCCATGCTTTAGAAAACACTGCTACAAAAATCCCTGCAGCCTCTAAAATCAAAAGATATGAAACAACATTTATGCTGAACAACCTTGATAGTTACAAGTTATGGTGTTTTATTTAGTTGGCAAATTATAACAGAACCCAGAATTTTTCCCCCTTAACGCTACAGAAGGAAAATTTTATAAATGTTTTTTCACATATTTATGAAAACTGTAAAATAATCTGTGAAGATCGAGTTCCTCCCTGCGGTTCTATCGCCATCTGCAGAAATACATCATTCAGAGCCAGGAGGAGGGAGTCAGCGTCGTCAATCAACTTGTGTGTGGGTTGCTAAATGCGGTAGTGTTAGAGAAACAACTTACAGGAAAGCAGTTTATTCTGTGTTAGCTGTGGCTATGCTAAGTAGCCTGATGTTCACTTCAGCTTGTGGGGAACTACCTGAAGGGTGAGCAGCATATACACCAACCTGATTGACATCGCTGGTTGTTTGCGGTCGTCAGGACATAGTGACACTTAAATATGTAAGAAAAACATTGCTTCTAAAAGATTAAATTAAGAGTGAAGCGTCAATTTTCTTCTAAGAAAGTTTAGTGAAATATTTCCTCATGCAGTCCACATGTTTCTGTTTACTGTGTGTTTATAGGAAAATCTAGATCTCAAGAGTCTTAGCTGGTCATTTCAGCATTTGGTTTTACGGCTCAATGAAAACGGCGAAACACCTGGTAGAAAATGTGAACTTTGCACATCTGGTTTTCCTCCAGCACTTCAAAAAAATCTGGAAGAATTTTATTTTCAAGCTTTCAATTGCGTTTATGACCCAGTAATTGATTTACAGAGTGTTTATGTAAAGCCGATGGAGAGCAGACTGAAAGTGACCGACCCTTGGTTGGGAGCAGGGGAAGGAGAACAACTGCACTTTGCCAAAGTCGTCAGCAGAGGCCATCAGGGAGCCATCGTGTGACCTGCAAACGGCGTTGATGTCCGTGCCGTCGGCTCCGTCTGGCCAAATTCCTGGAAAACAAAAAGTTAGGAAGGCATGTCTTATAACAAGACATTTTCCCATGTTACAATAAAATAATCTGCCAATTGAACTAGTATTTTTTTGTCATTAATAAGGAATTACTGACTTAAAACTTAACCATATGTCTTGCATGTTAGCAGACTTGAAATAAGTCAGAACTAAGACTTATGCACTACAAACCAGACCAAAAATACTTGGTAAGGTTTTGTGTTTTTGCAGTGTATGCAACCCGTGAGGCTTTGCATCAGCAGAAGTATTTGGTTTTAGTTTTCGTCTTGGAGGCGTACCGAAGGCGTTGAAGCTCAGAGTGCAGGTGGAGGTGGCCCACTCCAGGTTGCGCACCGTGTCCATGTTGGTCACGTGTTTACCACTGAATGCCTCCCCTGGACATTACAAAAATAATTACAAAACCAAAAAGCTACACATAAGGTTTCCCATGTTTGGAGAAAACAGGAAAATGCATGAGACATACAGAAGAGGATCTCGTAGTCTCCTGAGTTGGTGACGAGGTACTGGCTGTCTGCAGACCAGTCCAGATGGGTGACGAAGCTGGAGTGACCCTGAAAAGCCCAAACAAATCAGAATAATTCCAGTTTAAATCTCAGTTTTTCTTCATTGCTGAAAATGTTTTCAGTCTTTCTCAAACTGTGACCACCAGGCGCCCTCTGGTGGTCGGCAGGGTACTGCATGTAACTGACTGTTAGCTTAGCAAAAGATTGTGTTAAAAATAATCCACTTATAATGGACAAGTGGCTTAAAACCAGGTCACACAAAAGAAAAAGCGAAGATATCGGAGGAAAGAAAACCACGTGAGGAATATTTAGGAGGTCAAGTCATTCACCAGCGATCCGATTCTTTTGAACAGCTCTGTCATGAACGAGTCTCGGTGAGAACTGTTCTTTGATGACGCTGCTCTGCTCACGTCAACAACTGCTTCTTTTATTTAATTAAAAATGATTACATGAATTAATTAAATACAATTTATGGAATTGGTGGATAATTTTCAAGTCCATTTTTCTTTAATTGAGCTTTTAAATTACAAACAGCCACAAAATGTTAATTCACTCAACAATTGATGACAAATAGAAACTTATTGTTTAAATTTCCATGCATTTGATGTAACTGGAAAACTTTTAGAATCTGTAAATAACTCAAATGGCCCCAAATAGACGAGTTAATGGTTTTGGTTCTCATTGGGATAAACAAAGAAAAACAACAATAAGAACGTTAAAGAGAGCAACGTTTTCAATCCAGGTTGCTTTTCTGAACAGGACAGTTTCTGTGAGTGTTTTTTTAAAAATGGCTCAAGAGGATTTCAGCCTGGCAAAGTTTGAGAAACACTGATCTCTGTTAAGGGTAGAGAATCTGGACTTGCGGTGCATTTCCCCACGCGGCTGTACTTCTTGCCGTTCTCGCTCACAGCGTAGATGTAGACGAAGTTGTCATGGGAAGCAACAGCCAGGAAGTTACCGTCTGCAAACACAAACGGATCAGAGAGCAGCTTGGACAGAAACATTTCTGGAGACGTCTGGGAGTTCACCTGGAGAGTATTTGACGTTTGAGATGATCTCGTTGCCGTCTGTGTGCATAGAAACTAAATCCCGGGTGTCGGTGTCCAGCACCAGCCACCTGAAACGACAGGAAGTGTTCACTGGCAACACCCAGTGAACAGCAGAGCCAATAGATGCAGCAACGCTTCATTTCCTGGCTCCAAAAACCACAAGAAATATAAATATTTTGTTTTTAGCTTAATCAATCTTATACTGAACCGACGCCTGGTTACTATTCAGTAATTGTAGATTTTTTTGTAGAGTTTAGCTAAAATATTAAAAGAAAAAGCAGCAGGAGAAGCTTCAGTATCTGCAGAATGCTACTTTATATGCTATTGGTTGGCATTTGCTCTGTAGCCAATCCAGGAGAGCCACTAATTCCCCTTGATGCTGATTGGCTGTTACTTGTGATGAAAAACTCAGATAATGTTAGATTAATGTCAGAACATTTCTGAATTTGAAAAGTCAAAATTGACTCTTTTTTTGGAAGTATTTATTTACAGACAAAAAAAAGCTATTTGGAAATAATTTTGCCATTTTTCAAATATATTTGGAAAATAAATACTTGTTAAATTTTGTGTTTGTGCTGTGTAGGAAATTTAATTTTGTAGCAAAAACAAATATTTTTGTTCTCTAAAATATATAGAAATAATTGGGAAGCAATGATGGAGTCGCTGTCTGAATTTTGTGTTTTTCCAGAGGTCTAGTTGTAGAGTTGCAGCTGGATCCGTGGACCAACCTTCCAGTCATGGTTCCCACAGCCAGAACGGCGCCACTGGGATGGAAACCTGCAGACCTTGCTGGATCCTGAACAACAACCAAAATTCTAATTATCCACGTTAGTTAGCTGGGTTAGGCTTTGCTGCTCCGTTTTTGCTGCTCCTTTCACCTCCACGGTCTTGCTCCAGAGCGGCTGGTGGGTGCTGGTGTCCCACAGGTGGACCTGCTTGTCCTGAGAGCAGGTAACGAACTGGTCCATGGAGGGGTGGACGTCCAGACCCCACAGCTCGTCTGTGTGGCCCTGGAAACACACGGTGGGGTTAAAACAGGAGGTCGTCTGATGCTAACGGTTGCTGACAGATGCTGACAAAAAAAAAAACAACAGATGTTGACAAAAGGACACAAACGGAGCTCATGGATGTAACAGATGCTAACAAACGCTACTGAATGCTAATAAGACCAATGGATGCTAATAAAAGCCAATGGGAGCTAACAAATGCTAACAAAAGCCAACGGAAAGATGCAAACAGAAGCTAACGGACAACAAAAGAAGCTTTCAGAAGCTAAGAATCGCCAATGGAAGGTAATGGATGGCAACAGAAGCAATCCAAGGCTAACAAATGCTAACGGAAGCTAACATTAGAAGCTAACGTATGCTAACAGAGTGTACCTGTACGATGGGGGTCAGGGTGTCGGGGAAGGCCGCTCTGACGATGGCGTTCTTGGTGGTTCCGACGAACAGCTCACCTGGTTTCCCCTCAGCCAGAGCCCGGACCGGGCCGAGCGACTCGCCCACCTGGACGCACAGAGAGAGGGAGAGGAGACGATTGTTCAGGAAGAAGACACACACCAACTGGTTAAACTGGTTATTGTTACTGGAACCAACTATTGCAGGGATATCAGTGATTTATATTCATAAAAAAAAATAGTTTACTGTTAAAGATGATTTAAATACGGAACCTGAAAAGGAAAGAAGAAAATATAAACATAAAGGGGTGAAATGGAGTGACAGAATTAAAGACATAAAGGAAAAGAAAGAGAAAGAAAGAAGTATGTGAGTGAAAAAGGAGAATAAGAAAAGGAAAGAACGTTTAGATAAAGGTTGGAAAAACAAATATTTTCCTGCTCCAGACTTTTATTTCAGATTATTTTCTCTGACCAACTGGATAATTTCACATTAAACAACAAGCAGAAACATGAATCTATTCTTTCTGCCCATGTGCTTCACCCCTCTTTGTTCCTCTACCTCCATCTCCGCCTGCTTCCTGTAGTTGCGGTCCCACAGCGCCACCTTGCGGTCTTTCCCGCCTCCGGACACCATGGTACCGTCCTTCAGGACGCAAACGGAGAAGATGCCGCCTTCATGTGCGCCCGACACCACCTGGCTGATGCGGTTACCGCCTGATAACACGCACACACACACACACACACACACACACACACACACACACACACACACACACACACACACACACACACACACACACACACACACACACACACACACACACGATGGATGATGCTACGTTCGCAGAGTGACCTTCCATCAGAGAAAAGGAGCACGCCCAACCTTTGGCCCAGATGTAGAGGTTCCCACTGGAGTCTCCTGTGATGGCGTCGCCGTTTTCAGCAAAGGCCACACACAGAACGTACTTTGGTTTCTCGTGTTTCTATGGAAATGGATCAAAAAATGTGCTGGTTTAATGGTTTTTTATCAAGTTTTTACACTTAGAATCAACATTTGCAACACAAATAAGCAAAAAACTAAGTTCAGCAGCGAGAATAAATGTATTTTAAAAGGTTTGGACTGAGATGATTTTAGCTTCAGTTTGATTCTCATCTCCCTTCAGTGCTCAATGTGGGATTTCTCCCATTGAGCTTGATTTCTCAGGATCAATTTACTCTTTTTCTCAAGTAAAACATATTCATCCAAGAAATTACTCAAGAGTAAAAAACGTATTTGGTAAAATGTCTCAGTAACAAATCAATTTATCAATCATTTTATATTTAAAAATTACATCAGATGGAACAACACATGAAATTAAGTGGAAATTTTGTTATTTCAAAAACCAAAATGACAATAATTAATAGGATGGCCAGTTTTCTTCAGGCTTAAACATTTTTAATATTAAATCTCTGATGTTTGTGGCGGTTCTACCTCAAACAGCCCCTGCCTCTTGGTGAGCGAGTTTCCCTCCATGGTCCAGAAGTTGATGTGCGACTTTCCACAGGTGACGATCAGATTCGTGTCCATGGGATGAAACACGGCAGCCAGCACAGAGTCGTTGGAGCACTGCAACAGCAAACATTACACTGTCATCTGCAGCTTATTTGGAGTTTTCATCAGTTGATAATAAACTGAAGTGATGATTTATTGAACAGCCAGGCAGAGTTTACCTTCACTTCAGCGAGTTGTTTCTCTTTCTGCCAGTTCCAGACTGACAGGATGTGATCGTTGGCGTCATCCACAGCACAGAGGAAGGAGCCGCCGTTCTGAGTGGAGAAAGAGGAAGAAAAAAAAAAATCACAAAGATATAAAAACTGATTTCCAGCTGGTTCATTATTAGGCCCACTGCAGACAGGGAAAACAATCGTGTTCATTTCCACCAAAAAAATATGATTTTTTAGATTCATCTCAGAAATTTTCTAGGAAAGAACTTTGAAATTTCTGAGTTTGAAAAGCCAATAAGATTGCTTGGAAAAATGTAAAAATTTGCGATTAATCAGAAATTTTCTAGAGCAAAACAAGGAAACATCTAAGTTTGAAAAGTCTAAAATTTGCATGAAATAAAAGAAACATTTTGAGATAAATCTCAAACTTTCTAGCAGAACAAAACAGAAATTTCTGGGTTTGAAAAATTTAACATTTGCTTAAAGAAATACAGAAATGTTTAGATTAATCTAAAGATTTCAAGAAACAAAATGTGACAATTTCAGATTTTCAAAAGTCTAAAACATCCTTGAAAAAGACTTAAATATGTAGTTTCATAAAAAATTTACTAGAAACAAAACATGAAAAGTTTACAATTTCATTGAAAAAAAAATTAACTTTTTACATTAATCTCAGAAATGCTCAGGTTTCTAGGAAACTTTGAAAAAATTACTTGGAAAAAAAAAATCCACAAGTTTGAGATTAACCAAATATTTTCTAGATACGAAACGTGAAAATTTCTGGGTTTGAAAAGTTGAACATTTACCTCTTATTATTTTTGGTAAAATGTGAGATTTTTGGTGTAAAATGGGACATTTCCTGCTCTACGGAAGCCCTTTCATGCCGTTCAGAAGCCGCTTACCGACTTGGAGAAAGAGACGCAGGTGACGGCTCTGTCGAACGCGCCCATGCCGATCACATGCAGCGTGTTGAGGCTCACCGAGTCCCAGATCCGAACGTGAGGCGCGAGAAGCTGAAGAGGAGCAACAAACACATCACCACAGCACTAAAGAGCATTTACTGAAGAAAACCACAATCCCAGCCAGACAACATATTTTATTAATTCCATTTCCAGTTGAAATATTTTCCTTGTGTCCTAAGCAACATTTTTATTGGAAAATTATTTTATCAAAGCTCTTGAAAGATTGTTTCTAAGCTCTTGAACATTTTTGTTTAGCTTTACAAAAAAACCCAAACAGGAATAAATGAACAAAGCTGAGGTTGGGTTAATGAAACGAACAGACGTGTGGCGTTCACTTTACCTTTCCATCCTTGGAGTTTCCAGCCACCTGACCCGTCGCTATGGTGACCATGTCAGGATGAACGCTCAGGCTGAGGAGAGCGAAGGCGAAAAACGAGTCACATCTTTCACAACCACCGTTTGCAAGATGCATTTGGAAAAAAGGAAAGTTTTTCAAGCAAAACAACAACAACGAATCAACATTTTCATGTTGATGTGACATAAAAATCAACATTCAGCAAATATAATTGACAGCAGGAGAAAAAACGGCAGTCGGGTTTTTTCCCAGCATGCCTCAGGAGGTGTTCAGTGTTTACAGCTGATTAGATCATAGATTTAATTAGATAAACAGACACTTTTCACACAAAAAGTAAAAACTTCTGTGGACACAAAAAAAACCTAAATCTCACAAGGTGTTTTTTTCCGTTTAGTTTCTGTTGCTCCTGTCTTATTTATTCATTTTTGTTTTTAGAGGCGATTTTATGTTTTAGGCACAGAATCTATTAAATAAAGGATTAAAGGATTTCTCAAACATACATGAAATTATCAAAGCAACATCCCAGGTATGTTTCATAACATAATGACATAATATAAAGGTAAAAAAAAGTCAATATTAAACGATACTTTTCATAGAAGTTACGTTTCTGTGGAGAATTTGAAATAAGAATAAAACAAGTCATTTTCAGACCTGAAAATGAGCAAAAAAAGACCATAAAAATAGTTCTAAAAATGGGAATTAATTCAAAAGTCCTGAAGAAAGGCGAGTAAAGTTTGAGGAGGTTTAAAACTGCGACTGGGAGCTTTCCCAGAAAAGTCTGATTTATACTGGTAACAACAGGAAATTGTGAAGATTCCTCTGGTGGAAGGAAGAAAGAGATGGTGGTTTTCTGATCAGGTGGTGAACTCAGACCATTAAGGGAGAAATTATGCAATTGGATCCTTCTGTGTGAAAACTGAGTGCTTCAAATTGAAAGTTTTTCTTGGAAAAATTCAACTGCTTGGTGATCAAGTCTGAACTGGATGCTATTGAATCTGTTAGCCATAAAATCATGCAACTTGAAATGATAATATATTGATGGCAACACGGCAATTTAGAGGGAAAAAAACATTTTTGAAATAGATTGATGCAATTTTTCATATTTAAAACTGTTTTTGCATAACATAATCTACAACAGGATGTTGCTACTGACAGAAACGCCAAAGAAGATGACAGGAAGTGGTAGCAGGATGATGGTCTGTTTTGTTTTTTCTTCTGGCTCCATCAGAGCTGTCACAGCTCATAAAAAGTTATTTTTATGAACTTTTTGTCAATGCTAGATTGACAAAAAGTTATTTGTCAATCTAACATGTTGAATCCTTCGCTCTTATGTAAATTTGCCCAAAACGCCACAAAAGTAGCCCTTCCTAAGTAGGCCAGGCTTGTTGCTGTGGAAATAGTAATGAATTTTACTGGATGATCAATTGTCCCAGAAATTATTGAGTTCATTTTAAATTAATACCAGTGACTGAACTATAAATATAATCTCATGCAACTGTAGCTGCCATGACTTTTAATCATTTACTCATGTCTAATTTTAATTTAATTTCTTATAAAATATAAACATTTTGTCGACATCAGCAGAATAGCAACAAAGATTTGCACAGATTTGTGTTACGGCAGCAGTAAACATCCTTCCACAGGCTTTATTAAGGAATCGAAGTTTGTTTCCTCACCATTTGACGTCGTCGTTGTGTCCCAGGTAATGTCTCTGCTGCTGCTCCTCCGTGTTGTACAGAACCACCACCGAAGCGTTGAAGTACACAATCTCCCCGGTGGGCAGCAGGTAGAGGTTGCAGCGGCAGTCGCGGCCGCGGTAGCCGTAGCTAGCCCACCATTTAGTTAGGGAAGGTGACTGAAGCAGTAAAGATCGGCAGGAAGCCATTTTGTACACAAGACATCAACAAACAAAGATGGATGCCAAAGCTGGGGGTTAATTTGTGCTTCAAAACCCAATCTGATTGGACGCTGGGAAAGACTATTGTTGTATTCAGGTTGTGCTAAAAGGGGCTAGCTTATCAGCAAGGCTAAAATAGCATTGCAATGCTAAACATGTAGCAGCAGCACAGATGCTAATGCTAATGTTAGCAGCCACAATTTCTAAAGAAGCTGAAAATGGAAGGAAAAGAAGTTCATACCAATCTAATGGTTGAAGAACCTAAATAACAGATAAATGTATTTGTTGTTGAGCTCATATCTATTTGATGATTTAGCAGCAAAAAGGGGAGTTGAACTGAAATTTTTTTTTATCATTTTGTTGACATGGTTTTAGATTAAAATGAGGTTAATTAATTAAAGACTGAAATGAACTCAATTGATTAATTACATGAGGTTTTTGACAAGTGGATAAAATCTAAAGTGGTGATGAAATAATAATAAAAAAAAAACCACAGCAAGTTACTAACAATGCTATTAACAATAAAACAGTTTGTAAAAGACCCTGAAATTACATTAGTACATGTTTAATCAAACACTATTTAAAATCCAATTAAAAAAATCTAATTAAATGTTTTTCAATATATAAAAATATATTTCTCATCCATTGTTTTGACCATAGGTAGAGTCCCTCAGGATACACCCACTGCAGCTTCAGCTTTTTCTCCGGCAGCGCCACCTTCTGGTCCAGGCTGAAACCGTCCCGCTGCTGGTCTGGGACGTGAATGGTGACGGGACGACCGCGGAGGAACATCCTCACGTAGCCGTCCTCTGGAGGAGAGAAATGTTTTTAAACATGCACACAGAGTGAATCAGTGGGCAAACGGAGAGAAAAGTATGAAACTGAATGGAAGAAGCTATAAAAATCCAGAAAAAAAAAAACTTTAAATTTACTGTTTCGGTCATTATTAAACATTTACTTTTACATCAAATCAGGAAAAAAAGGAGCTGAAGTCTGATTTTCCCTCCAAACAACAAAGTCGTTTAATCTGTACACCATTTAAAGGTTTTTCACATTTTCTCATGCTAAACCACAAAATGTATTAATTCATTTTACACGGATTTTAGGTGATGGACCAAAATAAAAGTAGCATAAAATTAAAGAGACTTGGAGACTTTTTAAACTTCACCTGTGAAAATCTCTAAGCACAATTTTGCTTTTGCTCAAACTTTTAATGTTGTACCTGCAGCATTTTAATTGGAGATGTTAAAGTAAACAGGGTTTTGGAAAAAAAAGATAGAAATATATATATAATAACTTTTTACAAGGCTTATTTATTCAACACCTTGTCTTGGTTTATTAAGATATACACTGAAGTTTGTAGAAAAATTAAAAAACTTAAAAGGCACTCCACACAGAAAGTCAAAAAACAAAAAAAAATATTTATACATAGATCATTTTACCTGCATTGTAGGTGCATTCTTTGGATTTACTGAAAAAAAGAGAACACAGAATAAAGGATCAACCATCTGATCAGCAGAATTAAGTCATTTTCCACTCTGAAGATTAAAAATGCTTAAAAAGTTGAGCCTTGGATTCCAGAGAGTCCATCAAGCATGCATGAAATGGAGCAGCAAATATGGAGCTCCATTATTTGGCCCTCGCTACATCATTTCCTCTCCAGGCTTCGACCCTCACTACTTAATTTGACCTGACAGCGAGAGAAAACATGGGAGTCAGCAGAAACATGAAGTGGAGCTCAGCGATCAGCTGCAGAACTCGTGAATAAATGATTAGATTAAAGATATCAGCTGCTGCGGCTCCGACCCGGCAGACAGGCTGCAGACCCGGCGGACAGGCTGCAGACCCGGCGGACAGGCTGCAGACCCGGCGGACAGGCTGCAGACCCGCCGGACAGGCTGCAGACCCGCCGGACAGGCTGCAGACCCGGCGGACAGGCTGCAGACCCGGCGGACAGGCTGCAGACCCGGCGGACAGGCTGCAGACCCGGCGGACAGGCTGCAGACCCGCCGGACAGGCTGCAGACCCGCCGGACAGGCTGCAGACCACTGCAGGTGTTTGGAGCATAAAGTCGCAGCTCTGATGAAACACAGCCACAGATTTTAAAAATGTATTAAAAACACTGGAAATAATCTATTAGCACACACAGCTAGCATCCACCTTTACAAAAATTATTTCTTTAAAAAAAACCTAACTTATTAAAATGTTCAAGGAATATAATGGCATAATAATAAAGCAAGAACACATCCTCAAAGGTCATTAAACTTTAAATTAAGCTGAGCTGGACGACATTTTAATGAAATGAAGTCTTTCAGAAAAACACCAGGCTGAAAAATTTTACCATCCAGTTTATGGTAAAAGATGGAAAAAAGAGAAAAAACATAAATCGTGCAAAGTTATTGAGCTCATTTTAATTTATCACATGATTGATTTATCTCAACATCTTAGTGATGTCAATCATGCTCTTGTATGCGCTGTTCGAGGAATATGTAAACAATTTTTTCTTATAAAAGTTACATTCCTGTTTTAAGACTGATCTGTTTTGAAACTTTTTCTCTCCTGTCCTCAGGCTTCGATCTCTTTTGATAAAAAGAGAAAACACTGAAGGTTTTGTGCTCCAATGTTCCCATTAAAAATAAAAGAATGAATTTTGATCAATTATGACACAGAATACAGAGATGCTGTTGTACCCATAGAAAGAGAAGATGACGCACAGCATGAGCCCAAATGTAACGAGAGCAAAGCTCTGCACGTTTATGTTGGTAATCTGTGTTGCTAAATGCAAAATTACAGCGATTCAGCCGAACTCTGTGCTCTGCTGCTCCTGAATCAGCCGTCAGTCAGCCGGCCAGAGCTGCTGCGGTTTGAGCATTTCGCTGGTTGCTGACTGGCAGGACGAGCCGTCAACCAAATCAGCCGCAGCCACAGAAGAAGTGATGACACACAGACTGCCTGCATAAGGGAAGAAGTTTTAACCCAAAAACTGAGAGGTGTGGAGACAGAAAAACCAACCCGGTTGGGAAGGACATAGGAAAGGAAACACTAGTAAAGAAGGAACTCTGAAAACATTGTGTGAAGGCTGATGAGCGAATGCAGAATAAGTTTTGCATGCCCATTTGGGTCTCAACTGCTTCTAAAAACAGGTGAAGCACTTAAAAAAAAATTTAAAAGTAGAAATAAAACCAAGTTTTTGGCTGCAAGTAAATGTTTTTTGGTGTCTGGAAAACAAGCAGTTTATAAAACCTACAAAATGTAACGTCACAAATCAGCAGGAACTGCCTGTTACCTAGCAACCCCAGCGAAGCCCAGTCCTTTACATAGCAGAAGAGCTCCAGCACGGCTGGTCAGCTGGTTTTACCGCTGTACAATGGCTGCTGGAAAAGACGAGTGTTTGTTGACTGACCATCCAGAAACCACTTGCTGCATTCTTGTTGGCTGTGCAGGAGGCGCTACTAATGCTTCTCAAAGATGTGTGTTTGTCTAATTGTACATCTGCCTGCAGCCATTTTCACGTTCGGGTTTAAACGTTGGGTTGGGGTTGTGGCCAGCAGCAGCTTGTTTAGATTTAAAGGGACAGGGCGCTCTAAAACGTCTAAAATCTGAAAGGAAGGCAGAACAAAACCGGCTGAAATCTTTTATTCAAGAACAATTTTTTACAAAAAGTGCAATGAGGGTTTTGAATAGACCTTTTCTAACCTGTTCAGGGAAGCACAATAGGTCTCCTTTATTGAGTCAAAGAAGATGTAAGCCTGTTTCAATATGAGGCGCAGATCAGAGAGCAGATCAGAGAGCAGATGTCTGATCTGGTTCTGGTCCGGTGGAGGCCAGCAGGCTGGGTGTCGGCTCTTTTAACCAGCCACATAAAGGCCCGGTTGTTTGCATGTCGCTGTGGCAGGGAGACGAGGCGTGGCGCGGCTGCAGCCAATCAAAGGCCACGGCTGACTCCGTAATTAGAGCAGAGCTGGCTGGGAAACTGGCAGAAAAACACTGTAAACACCGGCACATCTAAAACCTCTCCGCTGTGAGACGTGAGTGAGTCTCCTGGTTTCCAGGGGGAGATGAACAAACAGAACCTTCATTAACATGCAGAACGTTTTCCGCCTGGATGGCTGCGCTTGGAAAACACACAGGGGAGACGGACGAGCTGCAAGGATGCACCAGGGGAACGCGGTAATCATCCTGTGTACGTTTCTCCAGAGCTACACGTTTCTGATGAACAAACGTCAAGCAGAAACAAAATGGCTGCTGGTTTAAAGTTCAGAGGAGCCAACAATAAGGGCAGCAATCACCATAAAAAAGAAAAAACAGCAGATTTGTGGTGCATGTTAAACTAAAGGACAAAAATAAAACCTGCTGGTAAAATCTTAAAGGTTTCTTTAAACCGCTGCACCATATGGAAGGCAGTTTTATCATTAAATACAGATCTGTATTTAAGGTGGTGGAAAATGTCTTCATAGAGACTCAACATGCCTTCAAATAAAATATGGTGCTATTTTAAGACTTTTAGTTCAATTAGCTGTTGGAAGTGTGGTTTGATTATATGTTCAAACAGCTTGCCGTACCATATTTCTGCTGTAAACATGTCAGTTATTTCAGTTTTCAGCCCTGAAGCAGCGAAACCAGTTCAGAGAGTTTTATTTCAACAAGCCTGCCAAAATTAGGAATAAAAAAATCCCCAAAAAACTCAAACTTCTTAGATGAGCAGGTCAAAGTTCATGTGCTCTGCTTAAATTAAAGACAACTGATCCCTGCTGGTCACCATCCACAAATGAAACCTGAACCCGAAAACAGTCAGGATAATTTATGACATCTTGTCTAACTTTTTCATTTCAGCTTCCATGTTTCATTTTAAGTTTTCTGAGCCATTTGACTTTGCGTTAAAGAATATTTCCAGTCTTTTTTTATCCTCTCGTTCTTCGGATTGGCTTTTCTTAAAGGGATTACTCAAACTAAAAAGGTCGGAAAACAAAGCTGTGAGAAACTGTTGGTGCAGTCAAAGCCGCAGGGAGGAAATGGACATTTCTACCCCACTAATGGTTTGTTGCATCCTTTAAATGCGGGATGATGGGAGCGGTCATCCATCGCCTGATCCATTATGACTTAAGTACTGCAGCCGTCGATTTTATCAACACGTTTTCAGCACAGTTTCACTCAGAAAGCGCAAATTATACAAAATGTTAGAAAATCCTGCAGGATTTATCACGTCTGAAAACAGCTGAATAAGATTCCTTGCTCACAAAATGATTCCAGTGATTTAAAATAAGTTTTATTTAATACTAAATGAAGTAGAATGTGTGGTGAAATAATTTGAACCAGGTTTTTGTTCTGAACAGAGACGTCTAAAGCATGCAGGGCAGCGCGGTCGGAGAAACTCAGCCCAGTTCGCTGCATGTTAAGCAGGAAATATCATCGATTTCAGCACATGCTGCGTTCATAAGCGTAATTATGACTCTGCTCCAAAGCCAAACTCCCTCTGCAGCGCTCCGACTCTCCAGGTGTTCCTCAGGTAAAACCGAATATGAACAAGGAAGGAGCTGCGGCTGGTTACCATAATGACCACTGTTCTTTCCTTATTCGATTTTTACATCTGGAGACAACTGGTTGCTGTAACTGGCCAAACAGAAGTTTTTATGTGAAGAGAAAACATTAAAGAAACACCAAACAGTCTTATTGACTCGTTTCATCTGCAGTCGGTTTGTGCTGCTGCCCCTCCCCACCGCGTTGCACGCAGAGACCCGACCACATCCAGCTGTTCGCGTGACAACTAAAACCTCCGGCTTACAAATCTATAACGCATTCAAATGTGAGTGAAAACCCGTCTGAAGTGGATCAGAACCAGCGGGAAGCGGCTCTCTGAAGTGCTGCTGTTGGCGTTTACCTGGAGGATCGCTTCATGTCTGCCGTTTTCCCGTTAGAGCCGCTTCCAGCTTCCTGCAGAGCCGTTTGTGTCCCGTTCAGCAGCCGCACAGACGCACACTTCCTCCTTCTCTCTGCAAACTTTTAGCTCAGCTTGGAGGCCAATCGCAGCCAATCAGAGGGCAGCTTACAGCCCAAAGCCACGCCCCCACATCTTACACAGTAACCACACCTCTTTACCAGGAAGGAAATCTGACCCCTCAGCAGAAACGGCAGCAGAATGGGACCAAAAAGTCACATTTACCTGAGGATACGAATTCATCACTATGTTTACTTCAACCTGAGGAAAACAGTTTTTAAGTGATGCTACATTAAATCATTTTAACCATCAGACACACATTTATACATGTTACAAACTTCATTGGTTTTAATGTGACAAAGTTTAAAGCTTTATGTTTATTTTTGGCAATATGAAATTAAAATTGTGTCAATACTTTGTTGTATTTATTGTGGAAACAATAATTATGAAAAAACTAGTTCAAGTTAATCACCTGCAGTTTATTTAATTAAAATGTTTGGATTTACCACTTTCCACAGACTTCTAGTTTATTATCTTAAATAATTTAGCTTTTATGTCAAACAAAACACCCTCTTTTAGTTTATTTTTATTTCAATATTCATGTCTGCTGACTCATAAAGACACAACAAACCATACTGAGTATATAGATCTCTATTCAGCTTGTTCATTTATGTTTGTTCTTTTCAATAATAAATAAACTATAAATGTAATTGTTGTGTGTGTTATCCGGTTGGTGGCTCAGAAACAGTTTTCACCAGCAGCAGCAGAAGTTACCTTTTCCCACCAGAGGAGCTGCTGGAGGACGTGGTCCGACTCCGACTCTCTGCTGCCATCTCTCTGCGGACCAGGGTAAGTCTTTCTGTGGACATGCTCTTCCTGCAGGCGGGAAAAACAAAAACACAACAGACCTGAATGTCCAGAGCTTCAGGGCTTTAAATTATGATTTAAAGCAAATTTGATGAAACAGGAAATAAGTGTTGCTGCTCATATTTATGCTAAAAACTTTATGTTTTGGATTACGCAATAAGAAAGTTAGATAAGAAAATTTGACTGGAGCTGAATCAAAGTGATGATTTGAGCTAGATTAATACCATTTTAAAATCAATTCCACACTCAATCTGAAAAGTGAAGAGTTTTAAAAAGGCTTAGTGTCTTAGTAAAAACACACATATACATTTTTATTCTTTAAATTCATAACTAAAATAAATCACAATCAAATGTGGTGTTAATATGGAAAAGAAAGCAAGAAAGGCAAGAAGGAAAGAACAACAGAAAGAAAGAAGGAAAGCAACAAAAAGACAAAGAGAAACAATATAAGAAAGATACAAAGCAGGAACAAAAACAAAGTAACAAAAAAAGATACAAAAAAGAAAAAAAAAGAAAGAGAAATTGAATAAAAAAAAGAAAAAACAGTTTTGTTTTTTCCATATGCTGTATTTTAATTTTTCAAAAACTGGAGAACCCACACGGAGCCTTTTGGCCTAGTTAAAGTTTCCCATCCTACCTCTTGATGGACTGCAGCACCTCTTTCTTTGGCGACGACGGCGACGACAGGAGGCGTTTCTGTTGAACGTAGCCGTTACTCAGAGGCCTGGAGGGAAGAGCCTGCAGGAGCTGACGCACTGGAAGGCGACACATCGGTGACACCCAGCGTCACTAACCGGCTCAGAAAAATAACAAATTCAGCTTCAGCAGTGATGGATTATTGAGAATTTATGTAGAAAACAATCTTTAGTCAGGCTTAATAGTAGGAGTTTTCTTTTAAAACAGGCTGAAAATGATTAAGAAGAAACAAAGAAGCTGTAAAAATGTGACTGAATCTGTAAAGATTTTCTTTATGAATGGAAACACTGTTTCTAACATCACCATTTTATGACAATCAATATGTTAACTTCAGTTGAAAATACTATCTAAATATCAAATATTACTTAAAAGTAATTTTACTTTGTAATTTAACAGCTGGAAATTGGGTCTCTGTCTCTTTAAGAGAATCCTGCTGTTAAACACCAAAACATGGCTCCTCTATTAACCGTTTGACAACATTTTTTACCAGAGTTTCACTGAGAAGTAGCTCCTGTGATGAGCTCAGCACTTCCACCAGGTGTTTGCTAATTGCTGCTGGCTAGTCTGAAGGAGCAGAGTGGGGAAGTCTCAGAGTTTGGAAGCTTGGGAACTGCAGCTACGAGGAGGATCAGCATCTCGAAGGCGGGGCTAGGTCCACCCAAGCAAAGCGACACTCCATGTATGTTTTTGATGAAGCAATATTACAATAACATAATGTAAATAAGTTGATTTTACATGATGCTGCCCCTTTAAGATGCCTTTTCTTATTACATATTTTCAGAAATTAAAAAAGCAGTCTTTACCCTTGGTGGACGGTGTTGGGGCAGCAGCGGTAAGCGGCCTCCTGCCAGCGTGAGCGCCCCCTGCATGCGGCCCGTGGCTCTGCTCCTCGCAGTAACCGAGGCGACGAAGAGCGTCGGCCAGAGCCGCCTTCAGCAGCTGGATCTCGTCCTCTTGCAGCTGCAGCCTCTGCTCCAGGTGGGACACTCTGTCCTCCATGTCCATGTTGCTGCTGGCCGACACCGTGTCATCTGGAGAGACGGTCAGACTCAAAGATAAATCACGCTTTCATCAAAACTGTGGCAAAAATGAGGGGGAGGGAGTGTAGAAGTGAACATATAATGGTGGCTTCATACTGGACAACAATAACGACGAACAAACGCAAAAACAAACACTTCAAATGACATAAAGTCATCTTTTTTGGCTGGAGGAGTTTCCATTGGTGAACCAGTTTGAATTATTTAGGGAGAGTGAGTCTGAACCAGACATGAAGAAGGAAGGATGGGAAAACGATCCGAGTCGCAGCTGCAGAAACAAAACAATGCTTTGTTTCCTTCCTGAATTAAAAATTTAAGTGAACTAGTTTAATGTGAGAAAATGTTGTGTTGCTAAGGAACAGTGTGAACCAGTTTTAACGGATTAGTTCACCATGTTGGCCTAAATATGTTGTAATTTCCCTATTAACTAAAAAAATGTTGTTTGTTATACACCAAAACTCACTGTACTTCAAAAATGTACATTTTTTGTTATAATTTCCACCCATGGAGGGCGCCATTTTTTCACCAATGGTCCATTTTGTTCTGCAATCTAGGAGTAAATACAGGAAGGCTAATTTTACCCGAGTTGTTGTTTATCATTTCCATTTGACTGGAAATGCAACACTGTGGTTGCAATAAAAAAAGAAAAAGAAGAATCTGAATTGTTTCTCACACAAGAGCACGGTGGGAGAGAGCTGGAGCCAAACACAACTTCCAAAAAATATTTGTGCTGTCAACATTTCTCTCCAGAAGACTTTGAGTCATTCGTATGAGCAAAACGTACGAAGGCTCTAACAAGTGATCGTGACCTTACTGAACTAAAATTGAATCAACTGATGGCCCAGTTTCATTTTTCTGGATGATGAAACCAGATTTTTATGTTTATGTAAAATCTCAGGTTCATGACATGTTTTATTCTGACTCAGGTTTCCAGATACTTCAGAGGAAAAGAAAGCCTACAGCTTTAGTTTCATCCACCGGTTGAACTTAAAATAAAATAAAATAACATATTTAATTTCATTTAATTTTAATTTGGTTTAATATTCAACAAGCTAAGAAGAAAATCCACATAAAGCAGATGGATACATGTAAATGTGTCTCTTCAGCGAAAAATACCACTGATTGTAGCCTCAGTGACAACTTTCTCCTGATCTGATTGATCAACTGAATTGATCTGGAAACTGGAATTACAAGCACCACTTCAGCCAAAGTTTTGAAATCAGGGAACATTTCTCGAGATGAAGCGATCAGCATGGAGTTTGAATGTTCTCCTTGTGCAGGCAGGTGTTATTTCCAGGTACTTTAGCTTCGTCTCACAGTCTACATTCATAACTGTAGGGGTAGCTGGTCCTCTCTAAACTGCTGCAAGGACCAGCAGATCCACGACAGACGTCCATCCATGCTGAATATTTTTCAAAAGATCTCACCAAAAAAGTTAAATATTAATTAGTTTCCTGGCGACTTTGATTCTAATAACCTAACCGTCTTTTACTTTGCCGCTCTTGTTTTAAACCCATTCCAGCACAATCATCTGCCATCATGGCAGGAAGCGCTGAAAGCTGGTCAGATTACCAAAGGCAAACTGACTTCTGGAGATTATTCATCTGACCCACATCGCCGGATTACAGCCTGCTACGAACCACAAAACATTTTACTTTACAGATAAACACAAAGGCAATTCTGGCAGAACATGAAAGTACTTAAACTGCAATGAAATGTGTTTTTTGTGTTGTTATTTTTGCAAATAACTTTTAGCTGAAGCCTTATTTGGAAAAAAAAATTGTGCAAAATGAGTTTTCTTTTCTGTTAAACAAACTCCAATAATAAACAAAAATGCATTTCATAATCTGCAACACTTTATAGCTCATTTTGTGCGAAACAATTCATCGGATCAACTACACACTCAAAGAGATTTGTTGAAAGAGCAACTATTGAGGAAAAATCTTGTTTGTTTTGGGAGTGAGCAATAAACTGAATCAGAGAAATGTGCATTTGTCTTGAGATATTTCATTTAGAAAATCAGAGTAAATCGCAGCGTCTGAGAAAAAAAAACAAGAGAGAAGAAGAAATGAAACTTAACACACACAATTCTCCTTTTGTGTCTTATCAGTCACATATGCGACACTTTCCACCCATCGCTCTCCTGCAGGAAGTTTAACTAAGTTTCTCTGGTTAATTGGTTCCTCTGTCCATAAATCAAACCTGGCTCAAAGGAGTTTCGGTTGGAAAGAGAAGAAAAAACATCTTCACTGAAAACATAAATATAACAGCTGCTCAGAAACCTTCATTATCAGTTCATTCTTCCCAGTAAATAAAGTTTTTTTTCCAAGACAGCGACATATCGAGAGCAGTAATAACGTCGCAACTGTAGAAGAAATCAGTATGTACATTTCTAATTTAAACAAAAATGTTCTACCCATAAAAGCATTTGGCAAGGCATTTGAAATGGTCTAGTCAAAGTCTAGAACTGAACTTGATTAAAAAGTTGCAGGACTACTTACTTTAAAGTAATTAATAAAAGTAAAAAAAAACCTTCCTATTCAACTGGGTTAGCTGCACAACAAACAAAACAAAGATAAAAACGCTTTTTATCTTTGTAATTTATATAAAACCATAAAGTGGAGTTAATTATTTTCGCCACTGCAACGTATAAAGCTCTGTTAGTTCTACAGTAACACATTTCACTGCCAAATGAGGCAGGAAAAGGCTGCAGGGAAATCAAACTTCTGATTTACATGCAATTATCAGCCTCAGGAGAGATTTGCATGGCAGAAGTGACCAGAATAACGCTGCATGATCTTTACTTCTCATCACACTTTCATTTTGTTTCTAATAGGAAGCGCTGAACAATAGTTTAAACAGCTAGCAGGCAAAGGAAAAATACCTTTTTTACATTGAGAGATACCCATTTGTCATTTATTCCCAAATTACATCAAAACAACACCACAAATTAAGTTGAAAATCCAATTAAATCCATGTGTTTCCAAACCGTTTCTGGTAGTAAACAGAATAATAAGTTCTCATCAAGCTTTTGTTTCTAACCAGAGGCCTTGGATGTTAAATAGCTACTGGTTTAAAGAGAAACATCTTTTGTTAATTTTCTGTGGCTTATTTGTAATTTATCTCACAAATTACATCCAGAAACGCCTCAAATAATTATGTGGAAAACCCAATTGATCACATCGCTTTCCTAACAGTTTCTGGAGGAGTTAGAAACAAGAAAACCGCCATTTTATGAAAATGAAATGAAACTGATGAGGAAGTGGACAGAATGTTGGTGGGAGGAGATCATGAGTGAGAACTAAGAAGAGAAACGTCGTGTTTATTGAGGCTGCAGTAAAAATTAGACACACAGGCGGCACACAGCAAACACGGTGAGACGGATTGTTTTAAAAATCAACTGATTTCAGCTGAAATGTAACCTTCACCAAACACAGAATGTAAAAACAAATCATTACGAAAGTCTGTTTCATCAATTCAGGGTGAAAATACTGTGAAACATTTTAAACTACACAAGAACCTCCTTTAATATACAGCAGTAAAAAATGAGCAAAATGTGTTTTAGAGCAACAAGAGAGAAAAGATCCAAGATTTAAAGCACATTTCAGTTTTAATCACTGGATGTGTGAAAATGTCATGATGCAGTAAATAAGAACCTGTTAGAAATGAACTGCATCCTTCAAAAACAGAAGGGATTCAGTGGCACCGATAAAGTAGAAAAATATGCCCAGGATATTATTTTTGAAGTTTCTGGCTGGATGTGAAATATTAATTTCCCCCAAAATCTAAAAAGTGGTTGTGAAAGGAACCATCATGCAATTATGATTATTGGCTATTAATGTTTTACATTGTGAAGGAATCAAAGCCCACTCTTGATGAGAGAATTATTATTTAGTCTGTTGTAGCTCATTTCTTATTATGTCAATGACATTTAAGTCTGGACTTTGAGTGTACCGCTCTAGAGCTTCCACTTTTGGTTTTGTGAGTCGTCACCTGGACTCGCTAATTTGTTTTGCATCATTATTGTGCATTTTTCAGGCACACGGTCCCATTTTAGGGCACAATCAAGTAACTATGATACCTTCTGTTGTTACTGAAATGCTGCAGATATAAAAAAATAACTTAAGGAAAATTTTCATTTGTAATTTGAGGTCTTGAAATTGGGACTCTGTCTCTTTAAGAAGCTCCTGCTCTTTTCAATACATCACAACAGTGCTCCTCGTTATGCCGTTTACAGCCATTTTTTAGGAGCGTTGGATGAGAAGTAGGTTGCATGTACTGCAACCAGGTGTTTGTTAACTACTGCTGCCGCTAGTCTAGAGGAGCTGAGTGGAAGACGGCGCTTGGTCAGAGCAAGCGTTTAGGCACCTGGAATAGCTGAAGATTTGATTGCTGCTCAACCATGCATAAAATAATCAAAAGAAGACACCAATTATGTTTTTGACAACAGAAAACATTAAAACATGACTTAAAAGTTTAATAAAGTAAATTTTACATAATAAGGTCCAAGTGTTGTAAGTGGAACTTGCAATTATTTACTTAATACCAGCTGATATTTCTTGCTGAAAAATCACATGTAAATGAGTTTTGTCTTATTTCAGGTGGACTAAAGTATTTGCACTAGAAAGTAGATAAAAATAAGTTTTTGCGAGTTTTTGTTTGGTGTGATTTTACAACACACCAAACAGGATCTGTCCACAAAATATTTTCCCAAATGTCTTGGCGACAAGATGGGATTGTGTATTTAATTTTTGTGGCTTGGAAGTTGTTTTCATCTTGGAACTGGACACAATTTGCAGCAGCATGACCTTAAACAGAAATCCACTGGCAAAATCAATTCTGCAAGGAAAAGAGGGCAAGAAGTCAATCATTGAGAGTTATTCCCAAGCGTTACACACACAGTCATAAAGTTTAGGGGGGGAATTATGCTTTTGTTTTGCTTTTTTACACGGGGACTGGTTGTTCAGATGGATATTTTGTTTCTTTTGTAAATTAAATCACTTTTTATATTAGCTCAGATTTTCTAATTTAAATCTCTTCAAAATCTTTCAGTTTTCTCCGTGTAAACTCGTGTTTATGAGGTAATGTCTCATTTCTTACAGGTTCAGAAGAAAGCAGGATGAAAGCAGCAGGGTTCACCTTCATACCCTCCATCTGTTTGGAGGAGCTACAGCAGCGATGCTATTCATCTTTGTCCTTCAATTACCATAAAACCCACAGAGTCACAGTGGGTGCAAGTCAGTGGTATTGCATTACTGCCCCTGCTAACAGAGGTCACATCGACTTCATATTCAGCCGCCAACAGGACTCGCATGGACCAACTTCCCTTTCAGCAGGATTTCCATTTAAACAACACGGTAGCGGTATTTAAGAGTCAGCTGACGTGAGGCTGATTCAGACACATGGCTGGTTTGAGGAAGCAGGGAAGGAGGGGAGCTGGGAGACAAAGAAAGGGATGAATGAGAGAGCGAGGTGGGGGAAGACAGGCGGAACGACACGGCTGATGAAGCGCTGAGTGATGGAGGCCGGTGCAGGCCGGGGGGCAATCAGAAAATTGAAGGTGGTGAAATATTCATGCTGTGAACGGAGGATGAAGGTGGAGCTGCCTACCTGCCATCCAGCCGACGGCGATTTTCTAGTCACTCCTCCTGTCAGTCAGTCCAGAGAGCGAACAGATGCTCAGTCAACCCCAGTCACTTTCCCCAACTACAAGCTCATGGACTCCCTCCCATCTCCACACACACACACACGCACACACACACACACACACACACACACACACACACACACACACACCTCTCCAGATGAACCACTCCCTCCTCTATCTCTACTTCCTCCTCAGTCCCTTGGACCACTCCCTCTTCCTCCTACCATTCCCTCCCCCCAGATTTCCCTCTTCATCCTCCTTGCATCCTTTCTCTTCCCCGTGTCTCATTAACTAAAGGCAGGGAGAGCAGAGGGTGGTGGGGCGGAGCCTGGCTCACGGCCACGTTCACACACTGCATCAGCATCTGTACGGCCAGGCACCGCCAGGAAGAGATACTGCAGAGTCACACTGCATGATTAATGACACCCTCACAGAAAAGGTTAGGCACCACACCGGACACATGCAGCCTTTTCCTGATGAAAATATCATTACAAGACGCCATGTTAAACCAAATGGCTAAAGAGATCCCGTTTGTCTTCATTGTGCATCAACAGGAAGTGGATTTCTGCAGCTTAAATCACAAAGAAGTGATGAAATTCAAAGCATAAAGCAGATTTTCCCTGTTTAGTTTGGTAAGCTCCAGACTGAGCATGCCAAAACAATCAATTAATTGCATGATCAAGGTTATTATCGTGAACTAAGACTAACAAAATGACAAAAACATTTCTGTTAACTCATACAAACTACAACCTCACTGTGCGTTTATAAAACTAAAAAAATGAAATTATAGATATCAAATCCTTTGATTTTTTTTGTTTATTAATCTATTCATGAGCCTTTCGAGCTTAAGCTCTTCTGCAAAATGGCAACAGAAAAAATTGGGAGAAAACACCAGAGTCTGTTGATCAATAATTTAATAAATTTTTGGAAAATGTTAACATCCGTTGATTATTCCTCATCCAATCTATGTATAATCACAACACAAAAGTGACTTTTTAAATCTGACATAAGAGAAACAGACTACTAATACAACTAATAAAAACTAAGCTAAAATTAAATGATATTCAACTAATAAATGAAAACTAGCAAACACACTACAAACTAATTAAAGCTAAATGAATTAGACAAACAAAAAGTCAAAATGAAATAAACCGACTCTACAATTAAATACCTAAAACTATTATAACCCTTGGCATTAACTCAATAATTTCCATTCTGATGATTGATATTTTTAGAAGGGTAATTTTGTCAGAGACATTACAATCCATTTTATTTATAGTTTTGGTCGTTTTAGGTTTTTATTTTTGCTCCATTTGCTGTTTTTTGTCGCTAGGTTTTATTTCAAATTTCAGCATTAAGTGTTTATTGGTCTTTGAGAAGTTAAAACCCGCATTATTCTGATTTTCTAATAAAATTAACGGAAAATGGTCTAAAAACCACAATATTATTGTTTATCACAATAATTACAGCGAACAATTTATTGCGCAGCAAACTGTAATTGCAGCAGGTGTAAGCAGAGACAAATTTAACTTTCAATGCAGGTAAGGAAGCTGATGCTTTTTAGAGAAAAACAAAGAATATGTTTAAAAAACACAACTGTTGTGATAGTGAGACGTTTTGTGTGTCTGTGGTTCACAAAAACATATAATCAATAAGTCCTTATTTCTTTGGATAAAAATGCCTGATGCCTAAACTGACAGCAGACTCTTTCAAAGCATAAAAGATGTGTCATTTTGTGTCTTGTTTTTGTCCCAGTCTGCACGTGAGCGCTGTCCATTGGCAAACAGGGCTGTGACGGACGGCTCTAGCGGCTGTAACACTCTACACACTGCTTCAGTCATCAGTCACATCGATCTGACGGAACAGTCTGTTCTCTGCAGGCTGCAGCTTTCCCTTCAAACTGAAATGTGTTTCTCAGGTGCCGTTATGCTCTACAGTAATGGGTTTGTGTGTTTTCGTGTCTGCTCCCTCTTATTCTTTATATTTAAACATCCAGCCTTTTTCCAAGAGAAATCAAGTTTATTTAGTATAAAATAATAAAAAAAGCACATCACCCATGAGTAACATTTCTGCTCCGTTTTAACTAATTAAAGACATAAATTCAACGCCTACTCTGCATCTTGAACTCAGAGACAGGAACCATCAAACCCAGCAACAGACAGTGAAACTGTTAAAGCCCAAATTCGCAGAGTTGCATCAATTAGGGATGGAGTTAAAAGTGTGTTAAAAAGCAGCCTGGATGTCTAATGTGGGGAGCTAATCTGAGAATGGTTCCTGTAATGCCATAAAATTCTTTAATATATAATCCACAGGAGTGCAATAAAACTATAAACATTATTAACAGGTGAACGAGAACAGTGAGAGGAGAGAAGCTGATCTGTGTGGAAGGTCTCTGGTTACAGAGGACAGATGGTTGGTAAAGACAGAGCAAAATAGACATGAGGCTTTGCCACTGCTACACATTTTCCACATCTTTAATGCAACTCCTTCAACGTTTAACAATTTCAAATGTAACAGCTCACATGTAAAGGTAAAAAATATGACATTTCTAGAAAGGTGATCCATTCTGACAAACAGGATGGGACCAAGATCAGAGCCTTGGGGGACTCCAGAAGATACTAGAAATGAGCCTCTGAGCTCCAAGGGTCACTTAGGCCTCACTACCTCTTTACCTCATGCGGAGTGGCTTGAGGGTTTTTTGGTGGTTTCAGGAACTGATGTTCTGATGGGACACCACCCTGCTTCACTGCTGTCTGACCATAAAAATTACCAACGATCCTCCTTAGTCACGTGATGCTAAGAGCGCAAGAGCTAGAAAGACATCCGTAGCATGGTATACCCCATTATAAGCCTGGCGGGCCACCAGTCTTTACTTGGCCTCCCACCAGGATAAGTGTTTTATTTTAAATATATATATATTTTTTTAATTTACAAAAAGCAGTGACAGTAAAGACGGATTAAGCTAGGTGTATTGTTGATGCAATAAACTGGGGGTGAGGGCTGGTGACCTGTCCAGGGGCGTCCCAACTCTTGAATTCTCCCATTAGCTGCATTTCCTTTGTGCGTTAAACGTCGTCAATGTTTTGGTCACGTAAAGAAAGAAATAAAAACAAAAAATCACATTTGTAGTGTTTTCGTTAAAATTAGATGTGAATAAGTTTGTCCAGGCGATAAGTCATTAATAAAAGTTCTGCACCTTTATCCTCCAACTACTTCCTGTTGTCTTCTTCGTGGTTTGCGCCAGTGGCAACATCACACAAGATCATGTGGCTTGTGTGATGCAATAAAAGGAGTTTCCATTGCAGTTTCTGAATGGAAACACCAAAAAAGAAAACTGCCTCTTCCTAATATTTTTTTGCGACAACTCTTTTAAAAATAAAAAATATAGGTTTATTTCCATTAAACAGACTTATTTTCAAATTGTGATTATCAACCATGCAAAAGGATTATCATCTGTAGATGTCCTTGCTGTGGAATAAATCAGCTGAGGTTTTTGATGCTACTAGACATATTATTTCTTTAATGTGTCAGTGTTTCAGTTAGATAAAATCAAATATACAACTGAGAAGCTTAAGTTGGGCAGATGACCTTCCCCAGCAGGACCAGCTGTCACTTTACTGCCAGTAAATATCAATTTTCCCTCTATATTCTCCATCTCTTCCACACTTTCAGCCAAATACTATTTATATTAGTTTTTTTTTATTATATGATATGTAACCAGGAGCTTCAACTGAATTTAAAAGTTAAACATTGACCAATCAAATTGTGCTGGAACATCACAGCTCCGGTCAGACTTTCACCCCTCGCTGTCCTTCCACCTGCCGCTCAGCGGGGCCGTCTGTGGGCTTTAATGAGCAGCAATCTACAAACACACACACACACTCACTGGCACACACTCTGGTTTAAAAGTTCAAAGATTCAGGTTGTATTCCGCTCTGGTGTAGCATGATTCATTTATAAAATCAATTCTGCTTTCACAGAAAAGATAAAAAGTCACATGTATGGATCTGTTTCAAATATAGAGCCCTGCAAAAATATTCAGACAGCTTGAGATTTGTCATATTTTTTCTTGTTGCAACCAAAAGCTTCAATGTAATTTGGGGAATTTTAATAGGATACAAATCTGACTTTGTAATTTAACATCTTGAAAGTGGGCTTTTGTCTCTTTAAAAACTCCTGCTCTTTCTGAAACTCATCCCATCATTGCTCCTCTTACAATAAGGAGCTCACAAAGTTTTACCAACATTGTACTGAGAAGTAGTTCCTATAAAGAGCTCAGCTGATGCATAGTTCCACCAGGTGTCTGCTAATTGCTGCTGGCTAGTCTGAAGGAGCTGCCAAAGAAGGCTTCTCTGTTAGATGTAAGCTTGGAAATTGCTGTTTGGAGGCGGAGCTGCGCCTCAAAGGCGGGGCTAGGTCCAACCAGCTGAATGATTGCCAGGGATTAAGCTAGGTGTATCTTTGATGCATTAAAACATGCATGAAAGAATCATCCAGGTTGTGATGACTGGATATATAATATAACATGATGTAAAACTAAATATAAAAGTCAGTTTTACAAATTATTGTTCTTCAAAAAAAAAAAAAAAGATTTTTTTTACTTTTACTATTTTCTCCACTGTTGGTTCCATGAAAGCATCAAGAAATATTAATAGAAATCTAAATGTGAATGTTTCACACAGTAGCCACATTGACTAGAAGAGACTGCAATTAATTTTCAATTAATTTTTTTTAATCTTCACTTTTATCGTTACCACAATAAATACCTGCCGGGGTCATAGCAGTGAAAGGAGGTTCTAGAAAGTACCGACTCAGAGATTAACACTGAGGAAGTGTGTAGAGGTATGAATATTTTACTCTGCTAGTCCAAAACCCAATGCCTAATTTAACTGTCACACTTCTCCTTTGATACTAAAGATATGATAAATATCCAAATTCATCACGCATTTGCATGTAATGCTTCATGAGAATCAGGATATTGCAGATGCAAACATGCCAGGAAGGATAAGGAAACGACAAACTCCACCACCGGCAGCCTTAACAACCGTGATGATAACAACTATTTATTACTATATTACTGTGGCTGTGTCTCTCTCTCTTAGCAACAACAGCCCCACAAATACTGCTCTTGGAATTCCTTCCCATTCCTAATACAATTCTTTAGGGCAGCAGCCACATAAAAAAGTGATTTGTAACACTAATCAGCACACAGTAACTGCATCTAATCATATTTTCAATTTTATCGATACAAAGGAAAAAATAGCAAAGCTAACGATCCCAACAATACAAGCAATTTTGGAGTTTTGAAACATCATCAACTGTAATTTGTTGTGACGACAATAAATCCAAATTATTACCTTGAAAAGATATTTAAAAGATAAAAAGGATCTTTGACTTTAAAAGAAACGATAAGATAAATGCTCAACACAGCGAAAGACATACAAACATTTGCTGTGTGTAGCTAAAAGTCAGAAAGCTGAATTGATTTGGTAACATTTAGGTGCTAACAACTATCAACACAAGCCAACGGCATATTGATAGTTTGATAGTAAGTATTACAGTAAATATCCGATATTTATCTCAGTGTTTCACAGAGGTAGAATACTCAAAAACTGTCATCAAGTAATAGTTGTTTATAATTTAGGTAGAAGAGCTAGTTCTAATCTCATGACTTGTTTGTCATTATCATAGCAACTCCATAGCAACTGTTATGGTAGTTTGTTTCTGTGCCTACCAAGATGGCCGCCAAAGTTACTATACATGTGATGTCACATGAGAACTACGCATTGTGTTAATTCACCCACCATTATGGGTTCCAAAGTAAACTCACTAAAGTCCAAACTTTGACTAGGTTGCTCCAAAAACCTTCATTCTGTTTGATGAAAACCTGTTTTTAATAATTTGGACAATTTTGACATATAACAGCATAATGGAGGTGCACTGCTCCTGGAGACACTGCAATACCAGGACAATGCGTGAACTGGAGAAGGCAAGCCTCTACTCCAGCTCCTTGTTCCAAAAATCAATTTAATATTTGGTCCCCATGTCGAGGACTATCAGATATTAAACTGATAAGAACAGAAACTTACACTTGATCTGAGCCAAAAGGCCGAGAAGCGATGCCTCCTGACTGGGGAAGAAACTATTTCTTCCAGTCCGAGCTCAGTTTAACTCGCGGTTCGGAAACTTTTAAACTAATTTAAAGCTTCAGCAGGAACAGGAACTTTATTTTACGATGACCCGGTAATGTTAGTGTTAGTATGTCGCGGGATATTAAACTCAATCAGGCAAATAAAGGAAAATATCCGGGTTTACGTGAAACCACGTGGTACGCTTTCGTCCAATAGGAAGCTACCCCCAATTTGGTTTTAACACTAAACGTACGTTCCGATTTTTTTTTTCGCTGTTTAATTCCACTTACTTAAATAAAGTTTGTGTTGTCACATGAGAACTATGCAGTGTTAATTCACCCATCTTAATGGGTTCCAAAGTAAAATGACACTCAGAAAAGTACAGACTTTGACTAGGTCGTTCCAAAAACATTCTGTTCTTTTCTTTTTAAGCCATTCAGAGGTGGATTTGCTTTGCAACGTCATTCTGATAAAGAGGTTTAAAGATTCCTGAACTTAAAGCAAATTGTCTCTGATACGAAGAAGGAAAGCAACATTAATCCATTGTATACATTTGTCTGTATAAAGTTCTTTTTCTGAAATGTGTCAGTTGTAGCTGACTGAGCAACTTCCACTTCAGTCCCATTATTGAACATTAGCAAAAATGACAACCTGTTTAGAAACTACGCCATGGCGGTCATATTTGCAAATAAATTTCTAAACAACAAACAAAAGGAAAGGAAATAATTCATGAAGAAATAAATTGTTTGGACAAAACTATACTTTCCTTAGATCTTTATCATACATTTCTTTTCTCCTTAGAATTATTATATAACAGCATAATGGAGGTGCACTGCTCCTGGAGACACTGCAATACCAGGACAATGCGTGAACTGGAGAAGGCAAGCCTCTACTCCAGCTCCTTGTTCCAAAAATCAATTTAATATTTGGTCCCCATGTCGAGGACTATCAGATATTAAACTGATAAGAACAGAAACTTACACTTGATCTGAGCCAAAAGGCCGAGAAGCGATGCCTCCTAACTGGGGAAGAAACCATTTCTTCCAGTCCGAGCTCAGTTTAACTCGCGGTTCGGAAACTTTTAAACTAATTTAAAGCTTCAGCAGGAACAGAAACTTTATTTTACGATGACCCGGTAATGTTAGTGTTAGTATGTCGCGGGATATTAAACTCAATCAGGCAAATAAAGGAAAATATCCGGGTTTACGTGAAACCACGTGGTACGCTTTCGTCCAATAGGAAGCGGAGAAGCGAATACGACCCCCAATTTGGTTTTAACACTAAACGTACGTTCCGATTTATTTTTCGCTGTTTAATTCCAGTTACTTAAATACAGATTCCCAGTGGAGCTAAATTAAGTTTATAACCCATAACTAATGAATATATGACAATAAATAATAATATATATATCGACGTAGTGACTCATAACAGCGAGGAGAGGCTCTTACACTAAACACCAACCCGTTTATAATTTGTTAAATATTCACACCAATCTTTAAATAATACACTTCAGTAAAAATGTACAAGCCCAGACGTATCATGCACACCAAATACGTCACCTCCAACCAACCGACCAACCAACCAACCGACCGACACTACGAGAAGCTAACACAGTCCGATATATACTTTATTTATCTCATTAAAACTACAACGAAAACATTTGGCTCGTAATTATAGCTGTAATAATGTGAAAGCAACTACTTTCATATAAAAAGCACACTTTAAGACATCAGGTAGACTGAAACTCACCAGGAAACGTCGCTTTACTTCTTAAATTGACCTTGTCGCGAAGCTACCGATCAATTAACCTAGCCATTCAGTACGCGCATGCGCAAACGGCATACCAAGCCGCTCAAGTACACTTGGCTGCAGCCTGCGGAAAGGGGCGGGGACGGACCACTGTAAGTCTCAGACCTTATATGGAAATGGGACTATTGCGTTCTGGAAATGAAGGGGGCGCTAGTGACACCATTTCCTGCAGCCAAGACACTCTCAGCCGCTTGACACAACCAAAAAAAAGTTAAAAATAAATCATCATAACCCGGAAGAGTTTTTAGTGCACGGAATTCACAAACTTCTATTTGTTTGTTTTGTGGTGTTTTTACAATCGAGGTTTAATTGATTTATTTATTAAATGATAAGTTAGGGACACCTGATCACTTTTTCTACCTCCGTAACAGGTTGAAATAAACAGGAAAAAAAAACATAGATTTAAAAAAAACAAAAAAATAGATTTCAAAAATTGCTCTATTTTAAAATTCCCTGATTTACAAAGTTAAAACATACCATAAAAATATTATCAATACCACAGTATCTGATTTCAAATTGATTATTTTAAGATTAACTGTTTACGAATCAAAATATGTATTTATTCTAATTCAAATACTAGAAGCAAACAGAAACAAGAAAAACATTAATTTTAAGATTAGTTTTCAGATTAATTGGGCTTACTAACCAAAATTTAATTCAATTTAAATATTAGAAATGTATGGAAACAAAAAAATAATTAAAGATTAGAAAACTAAAACATAATAAAAATATTACCAATGGACTATCTGATTGTTTAATATGTTTTTTCAAACGTATTGTGCAAACTAAACCAAAATATATATATAATTCATATAAATATGTTAATTACACAAGACAATGCAAAGAATTCTAAAAGTAGTCAGTAACTATACATCGAATAAAATGATTTAATTTTAAAAATGTGTGACTTGTCATGCCACCAGGTGTGAACGTGTTGCCAGGAGGCTCACCGTTGTTGCAGTACTGCAGCAGCAGGTTGGTGCTGTCACACAGGCTCCCACACGAAGCGATCCTCTCCGACATCCTTCCCCGCTCCTCTGCTCTGCCGACCCTCCGCGGACTGCCCCGTCCTCCCTTCGCCTTTCTCCGTCTCGCCTTCACGCCCTCGCCGCTCGCCGTCTCCCCCACATCCATAAACACTCACACCTTCACCTGCCTCGGATGCCTCCGCTTCTCCCGCTCCGGCGTCACACGAGCGGCAAGCCGACGTTTTTATGACAGACTGGTTTCCGTTTCCCTCTTTCAAATTAAAAGCATGTTTTGAAAAGCTTCTGTTTTGACGGATCCTCCTCCTGCTGGAACACAAAACTCGCGGCGTTCTGAACAGACTCGACATAATGCTGCCTCCACCATGTTTTATAGCTTTCTTAGGTGTGAAAGAAAACAACCTGAACGACTTTGAGCATTTATGAGAAAAAAACATGCACAAAAAAAGTTGAGTCCCATGATAGTTTTATCTTAAATTTTTCAGCATATTTTTTTATTTCTGCTTTTCATTATCTTTTAAGTAAAATATAAATTAAAATAACTTAATCACAATTAACTGCGCTGTAAGTAAATATTTCAATGCTGCCGCAGAGTACCAGCTGAAATCCAAAATAATTCCTGACCAAATTTGTCAAGTTAAAATAAATTATTGGAAATTTCAGCACTAGTTTAACAACATGTTTTCTTATTTACATTTAAAGAGATATGCACAAATTGTCACTTAAAAAAAACTTTGAATTTATATGTTGGATATCATAGAAAAACTAGTTTCTTTATCTTTGATTGTGTTTCAAAAAGTTTGAATTTAATCATAAAATATTATGTAGAAACGTTAAAACTATTCATTTGGTTGCAATTTCATTCACAAAATTAGAAAGTTATTATTTTGAAAATCCGACCATTCCATTTCCGGTTTCCCTCGTTATAACAACAGTTAGCTTTCTGAAATGTCTTCCTCTTTCTACCCTCCCTGTCGCTGTTTCTATAGCAACAGCTTCTCCGCCAGCCCAGCTGCTTGATCATTGGAGGCAGAAAAGGTTAAGGCTTGAAAACGTTAGCGTCCAAATTACGTAAGAAACGGGTGAGTGAGGTTTCAGCCTCTGAGAGGCGAAATTTAATCTCGGTGTTGTGGTTTAGTTCCTTAATAATTGATGTAGAAGCAGCCGCTGCTCCTATTTTAAATTGACTGAATGAATGAGTGAACTAAAATAAAATAACATTTGTTTATGTTCAGTCAGCTATAATCATTTTTCTATATCCCAAAAGTTAAACTTATGCCAAATCCTATATTTTTACGTTTAAATTGTTTAGAAATCCTATATTTTTACGTTTAAATTGTTTAGAAAGCTTCTTTCAGATTAATGCATCCAAGGTGCACATAGGCGTGTTGTCGCAGATCCTGCCTCCAGCAGCACTGCTCCCAACAAACTCAAGAGATGCTTTGCATCCCTGCTGACATTTGTGCAGTTTTTTCTCATCTCAAGCAACATCCCTGCCTTTATTTTCCCATCCCTTGACAGAAGAAGAGTCTTAGTAATCTCCTGCAGCCTCTTTGTGTTTTCTATGCACAAATGCACACATCTTGTACATTGATTGGAAAATATGTTAATTCTGGTCTGAGCAACGTTTTATTAATTTATCATTGCTTTACTTTATTTTGGGGCTGTAATGTAGTGTTTCTTTTTGTTTTATAAAAGGCATTTTAATTACTTGTTGCTACATAAATAGGAAATAAAAAAAGGACAGAAACCTAAAAATAAATAAATAATATTTTTATGAAATACACTGCATTAAAATGACAGTGAGTTGTGTGTTTATGTTACACTTGAGGTAACATAAACATGCATGATACATAAAATAACGAACTTATACCATATAAAAATGTTTTTCTTTTAAAAAAAATATTTTCTTGACGGAAGAATTTCCAAATGAACAAAGAAAGTAGAAATAAATAAAATCCATTTTATCAATAGTTTTTGTTTTGTGTTTCAAACACAACACAAAATTAAAATTAATAACTTTTAATTATTAAACTCTTATGAATTGATTTTAAACATTATATGTATTTTTCAGTTATTTATAAAGAACTCCCGATGTTTTTCGGGATCTCTACAAACTATTTACGGTTACACACGTTTCGCCTTGACGTCATCAGCACCCACCCTAAAGTCCGTAATGCGCCTGCGCCGTTACGTAGTGCTGTTATTGTCACGTGACCATTCCTAACTCCAGCCGCTTCTTGAAAGTGCTGGAAGTGATGATGAAACCAGGAGAAATAAAACTTTCTGACTCGCGGCCGAGAGGTTTGTTAGTTAAACGTCACTCAGTCGGTCTGTGTTAGGTTTCCTCTCAGTCTCTTCTGGTGAAAAGCCGCTTTAAACCAGAAGCTAACTTCACTGTAAGCGGGGTTAGCATTAGCCGAAGCGCCTACAGGAGGAAGAACTGAACTCAGTGAGTACGACTAACTTTTATTTTCCTGTTTAAGCTAAGAAGAAAGTGGTTTGAGAAAATAAGAGGAAGAAATATTAACAATGGTTAGACCGAGTTAATATTTTTTAAAACCGGTCATTTGTGAGTGTTTGTCCAAAGTGGCTACACAGCAAAGTTTGGATGAAGTAAACAAATGTTCAACAGTAAAGGAATATATTACTACGAGACTACGGAGGCCTCCAGGGGACATGGGAATATTTTTTTTTCTTTTGCGTTCCGTCGCATAATTGAATGCTGTAAGTCCTTTACAAAGTTACGCTAATATCTCCTTGTGAAATATCTGACATGTTATATATTTTTCTTTAGTATAGAAAGGCACCACAAACATATGAGAGAAACAAAAACTTTCCTTAAGTGGGAATATTATATTATATTGTATCAGTAAGTTTATGTCTATTAAACTTATATAAATCGGCTTTTGGTTTATTCACTGCATGTTTAAGTCTGTTATGACTATGAATACAACAGAGACACAATCAAAACTGTCAGAAGACTGATTACCCTGCGATGTTAAATGTTGATTAGAATTTAAAATGTTCTTAAAATAGTCTCAAGACAACAATAGTGTCGTGTTTTGCAATAACTTCTGGGACAATTTATCGTCCAGTATAAATGTGTAATTGTGACAGTCCTAGTCAAAGTTCCTTTTTAAAATATCTCCAAATGAATTAGAGATATGTTGACCATAAACAGCTTTTTCGTGTCAGATATCTTGAATCAACATTCTGAATATTATACTTCATTCTGTCTTGTCAAAATATCACAGATTTACTTGACAAAACATGCTGAAAGTATCACTTTTAGCTTTTATGAGTGTTGAGTTTGCAGTTAGTCCAGTTTACTCGACTATTTGGTGTGACAACCTCCTTAAGAGCGCCTGCTTTGATCCGTCTGTCTGGTCCGTAACTTCGGCCATGTTTGAAGTCGTGTCTCTGCTTCCTGTCAGCTGGGTTTCAGGATGTACAGGAGGTCGAGGTCGTCCAATCTGGGCGTGCTGATGCTGGGCTCCCAGCTGCTCCAGGTGGGCCTGGACAACATCCCTCCTGTCACTCTGGCTGTCCTGGCTCTCAATGTTTACCTTTTCCTCTTCCCAGCAGCTCCGCTCCTGAGGGTAAATAACTAATCCACACAAACAAACATTTAAAAGCAAAATGATGCATATTCTTTTCACTGACTGAATTGTGCTTGGTGGTTCAGTAGACAGAAATAGTCACCATTTTGCATGATTTCTAAAAGAAACGCACTGATCCGATATTAATATCTGTATTAGTTCTTCAATTTATTGGTAGTTTAGTCACTTGGAACTGAACTACTGGTGCAAAGTTATCAAATTAATTCATCACGTTTATGTCTGTAAAAAGTAAATTCAGCTGTTTTTCTGCGTCAGATCAGCCGATACCCCAGAAGTGGAAGAATTGTTTTATCCTTAATTTGTTTTGTTTATTCCCAGTCCTGTGTGAGCGTCCAGCAGGCGTACTGGCAGGGCGACTGGCGGCGGCTGCTCCTGGCGCCGTTCCACCACGCAGACGACTGGCATCTGTACTTCAACATGGTGTCTCTGCTGTGGAAGGGGATGAACCTGGAGAGGCGGCTGGGTACACCCTGGTTCCTCTACATCCTGTCCGTCTTCTCCGTGCTCACCGGGGCGGTGTACCTGCTGCTGGAGGCGCTGCTAACGGAGCTAGCTGATGACCAGTCCTACAGCCAGGCCTGCGCTGTCGGCTTCTCTGGTACGAGTAGATCTGTGGGTTTCTGATTGGAAACGTTTGGGTCCTCTTTCACCTTTTGGTTTTTCTGCTTCTTTCCAGGTGTGCTGTTTGCGCTGAAGGTTCTGCATAACCACTACCACCCTGGAAGCGTGATGTACGTGATGGGGCTGCCGGTGTCTAGCCGCTACGCTAGCTGGGTGGAGCTCGTTCTGATCCACTTAACGGCACCCGGGTGAGTTTAAGCAAAAACATCCTGGATTCTGTAGCTGCTTCCCAGATTAGACTCATAAATATGCTCTTTAATCCCAGTAAAACCAGTTTAACTTTATCACCATTAACTAAGCTTTTTCTCACTTTAACGCTCTATTTTATAACTCTGAAACACTTTAAGTTACACTATTTTATATCCAGTTTATTTTTTATTAATTTATTTAACCTTAAAGCTGCACTGAATGATATTCTATTCAAATGTCTAAAGATGCTTTTTATAACCTGCACTGTTGGATTTTTCCCACCAGATGGCGCTGTTTCACGTGTTTAATAATATGTATTGTAGACTTGAATAGACTTTTGTCCCCAGTCCTGATAAATTAAAACCATTTAGTCAAAAATCTAAACTGACCTTTTGATAAAAACAGCTTATAGTTTTAAAAATATCTATTGTTAGACGTTTATCATTTTTGAAGAGTAATTTCATTAAAAAATTTTAGGTTTAACATTAAAGAAATTTATATTTGTTAATTTTCTTTTTTTTAAGCACAGTTTATAACTGAATGTCAAGAAAGATTATTACTGCTAAATACGGCTGCAGCTAGAGATTATTTAATAATCGAGTAATCTATTGATTATTTTGATGAATTGTTGAAATTTAATGCAATTATTCCATAAAAAACTGTATTTTTTATTAGAATGGTTTTATTATGAAAAGGAGACTTTCTCAATTAAATCAGCCTGAAAACAATTTAAAGATAAAATTTTTATTACATTTTTATTAACCCGTGTAAGCTATGAAAAACAATGTCTTATTTACAATAGAGACGTGACATTTGAAAGATTAAATAATTCATTTTTTCATTCATTTGTAGAATCTTTCACTTATGATGTGGGAAAAGATCTTTTCTACCAGCAGAACTAGAACTTTTTTTAATCAGTGTTAAGGAATTATTGACTTAAAAAAAGCTAATATATTTTGCTAAACAGTTACTTGTGAATTAGTTTAGTCTTATTTCAGTTGTACTAAGACGTTTGATCCGTGTCTGCTGCTCCTCCAGGACTTCGTTTGTGGGTCACCTGGCAGGAATCCTAGTGGGTTTGCTCTACACGTCCGGACCGCTCAACAGAATCATGAGCAAATGTGCAGGTCTGACTCCATTTATCCGTTTTCTCTTCGATCCGATGCGGAGGCGACGCCGCGCCTCATAACCGGGTCTCCATCAGACAGTTCGAACAGTAACTTACTAGTTTTACTGGTTTCACTGGATTCTTCTGTTTCTGTGTTTTCTCCAGATTTGTTCTTGTCAAACGAACTCGGATCACATCGGTACAGATCTGCCGGCACATCAGGTACCAGAGCATGCTGGGAAATATTTCATAAAATATAAAAATAAAGTCATAATATTACCAAAATAAAGTGGTAAAATTCTGTCTTTCTTCTATAACTTTATTATCATAATATTGACTTAATTAACGAAATATTATCAATTTATTCTTGTATAATTTTATTGTCATAATTTTAGAATTTTATTCTTGTAATTTTCCTACTACTTCTGTAAATTTCTAACTGCATTCTGCTAATTTTATCATTTTATTTTTTTATTATTTCAACTTTAATAATTTGACTTTTGTTGATAAAATATTATGCATTTATTTTCATATTATTATGATTTTGTTTTGCAATTTTGTGTCTTTATTATTAAAAAGTTTAAGATTTTGTTCTACTAAGCGTTGAATTTTGTAATTTTATTATTTTAGTGACATATTATTTTCTTCATTTTTGTTGACTTCCATTTTATAAATTTATTCTCTTAATTTTATGACATTTTCTCTGAATATTTTGACTTTATTCTCATAATTTTGTCTGAATCTCTTTGTCTCATATATTCAGGTTATGCTGGCAACAGTGGAGATTTGTATGGATACTTTTATGACCCGCCAGGTTACCACACGCCGTCGTACACCGGCGGGCTGACGGAGGAGCAGCAGCTGGAGGAGGCGATCAGAAACAGTCTGCAGGACCGAAGTGAGACGCTCTGAACTCTGACCTCTTACCTCTGAAAGAAACACACCTGACGTCACTTCCTGCTCATTCTCTCAGGACGAGGCCACGACAGACGTTCATATGGTGACTCCTCTGATGATATGAGCGCAGAGGAGTTGAGGCGGAGGAGGAGGAGGCGGTTCGACAACTGAACTCTGACAGGAAGTAGTAGAAGGTTTTGGTGGAAGAAGGAACAGACGGAGGAGGATTGCTCTGAATAAAGTGATCAAACGTCAGCGTTTCACCACCTTCTGTTCTTTCCTGAGCCTGTTATTAATCAGCCAAAGAGAGAAGATTCTGAGTTTATATATCTTACAGAAACCAAAAGTCTGCAGCTTCTGAGCTTCGACTGCAGGATGAAGATTGGAGGAAAAAGTGAAAAGAAGATTTCAGTTCCTTTTTAACTCAAACTGAACTCTGGTTGGTTTGGACAGTTTGTTTATAAAAATCATTAAACATTTCCCAGTTTCATAGCAGATTGTCTCTTTGACAGACTGATATGATATAGAAAGCAAAACCCAGAGAGGAATAAATGTCTAAGAAGAAAATTTCTGAAATTCTGAGATCAGTCTAAAAAAAAAAACAGGATTTTAAAAAAACATTAATCTAGGAAATTTTCTAGAAAAAGTCAAATTTTTGAGTTTGAATAGTCAAAAAGTTGCAGAAATTTCAGAGTTCTTTCTGAAATTTCAGGTTTTTCTAGAGGAAATATGACTTTCCCAACAGAAATTTCTGACTTTTTATTTGAATAATTTATTTTAAAAAACAATGAAAATAAGAAAATACCTGACTTTTTTCTCTCCTTTTTCTAAAATTTTCTCAGAAAATTGTTGGATTTTTGTGGAAAATTTTTCAGAAACTTGACTTTTTTCTTGAAATTTTGAATTGTTTTCTCATAATTCGAACATTTCTGTCTTTTTTTATTTGAAAGTAATTTTTCAAGTAATTATTTTTTTTCTTAGAAAATTACTGAGATTTTTTTTTCCAGAAAATTGGTGAATTTCATCTGAATTGGAGATGTGCAGTTGTACAGTAAACCCACAGCTCTTCCTCTTGCTGTTCATGAGTTCTCAAAGGATTTTTCTTTAATTTTCAAATTATTTATTTTTGTAACAATAAATGTTGTTTTGCAGTAGTAAAGTCTCACATTGATTTAATTTAACTAAAATTTTAAGTCTGCCTTTAGTTGCAGTGTGTTCATTAGTCTGGAAAAGTTTTGATACTGAAAATAAAATTTGAACCTGAGAAAATAATTTTTTAAAATTTGAAAATAATGTGTCAAACTACTTTTCATATTCAAGTTTTTTTTCTTTTTAACAAACTTTTTGGCCTCAGTTTAGCTCCATATAGATGTTCTGGACATGTTATCAAAGTTAAACAGTGATTTTATTGTTTTTATTGAAACATGGAAGAACCGAATGTAGCTCAGTTTGTATCGATGCTAATGAGCATCGTTGTATAATAAATTTTTGAAGTTACTGAATATAGCAACATATTTTGACAAAAACTAATCTGGTTAAAAACACAGAAATGACAACTGTAAAATAATCACAAATAATTTGAAGCAGTCACAGGTCATGGCTTCCAGCTTGTCGGCCATGACAGTCTTCCTGTCAGGTTGGTTTAAACTGATGGGGTGCCTGTCTACTAGATCTCCAAAGACAATATTTCAAGTGATTTCCTCCTATCTGATGAAAAACAGATGTATTGGCTCATACAGCAGCCTGGCTCTGCTCTGAGGTTTCGCTTGCGCGTGTTATATATAGATAGAAATGACTCGATTCAAAGTTTTTCTGCGCTTACTTATTAATTTATATGTTATTTATTGATTAATATATGTGATTGCTTGTTATTTATTTATTTGTTTATATCTAGTCATTTTGAAATGATCACTGTTAGGTATATATATATTACAAACTTTATTACCTAAGATGGAGTAGCTTTCAATAAATAAGCAATTTCCCCTCGGGGATCAATAAACTATATAATCTATATCTATATAATTTTATTATTATTATGCTATCTTTTTGGGGCCCTAAGCAGCTGCTTAACTGACATCATTCCTTGGACCATCCCTGGTTTTAAGTGAATAAATCCTTAATATTTAATACGTACTAATTAATCTGACAAAGTATTTTCATGTTACGTGAAATAATGTCATTGAAAGTAGGACTTATTGACATAAAGCTCTTATATTTTGCTGTAAGGTAAATGTATATATATTTAAAGTATTCAGGGACATTTTCACTATAAAAACAGCAGAAGCTCCTTGGTGGGAGTTTCAGTTTTTACAGTGCGCTGTGCTCCGTGTTTCTGCACCTGATCATGTGAAAACGGTTTCCTGTGTGAAGCGTGAAGCTCGCCTCGCATCACTGACTGACGCTCGCAGAAATGGAGCTGATTGGATGCCAACAGCAGAGCCTGAACGTCTCTGGCAGGGGTCAGATTCAGCACAGAACCGCGACCTTTTGACCTTTCCTCTCTGCAGCAATTCAAGAGGCTGAAGAGATGAGATAAATATCTACTCTTCCTCTCCCTGCTGTCACAGTCTTCCCCTCCATTCCTTCCTTTCTTTTCTTGTCTTCATTGCTTCAGGATGTCTCTCTCTCTCAGCTGATCTCCACAGACGTGTTTTTCTCTCTCAGTTCGTCTCTGGATTCGCCTCACAGACCAAAGCAAAGGTTTTCATCTCCTCCTCCTTCATCTCGTTTCCTTCAGATCACACTTGGTGATTCTCTCTGATTCTGACCCACTTCTGCAGCCAAACCAGCGTCCAAATAAAGGCTCCATCACCGCGTCAGTGTTACAGTCGGAAACGAATCGCCTCGTGTGCAGAGCCAGGGAGTAACTGGTTTCATTTCATAAATTACTTTATCTAGTTTCTAATGCAAATAACACTAAACTAGCTCACAAGCCGCGTTGCAGTAAGTGGGAGTTTGTTTTAAGTCAATAATTCGTGAATATTTACGAAAAAGTTCAAGTTCGGAATATTCCGGCGTTACCTAGCAACCCCAGCCAAGCCCAGCCGGTTACCTAGCAACCCAGTTCTGGATCCAGTGGCCAATTATCAATTAATCAATCAATACAAGAATTATTGACTTAAAACAAGATCCCATGTTTCACTGAAAAGTAACTAGTTACATTTACTCAATTACATTTTCTCGAGTAACGTTTTTGGTATGTAAAAAAATAAAATACTTTCATCAGTATTTGTACTTTTGCTGGAGTAAAAGTAAAAGTATTTCTGCTCTTATTTCAGTAAAGATTATTGTCACTAGATCCTTAAAATACCAAACTCTCCACTTAACTTTATATTTTGTGTTATAAATCTCACAATCTTTGCATCTGATGATGTATTTTTTAGATATTAAATAATTTCAATCTTTGGGTTTTTCGCACTTTTATTGTTTTTATTGTTGATTGTTTATTTTCGGTCTGCAGTCCAGAAGTCGACCTTCGAATAAGAAAAACTAAAAACAACTTAGTTTTAGCTCAAACGCTGCAAAAACTCAAAATCTTTCCAAGTATTTTCATCTGGTTTCTGGTGTAAATATCTCAATAAATGAGACAGAAATAACTTAAAAGTAACTTTTCAGCAAGATAAGTGCTTGATTTAGTTAAATTATTCCTTATTAAAAATAGTCCTAGATCACTTCACTTTTCCCATGTTATCAGTGAAATAATCTGTCAAAAATGTGTAAAGAATTATTTACTTAAAATCCTTTATCTTGCTGAAAATTAAGTTACTTTTATCTTGTTTCAAATGAGCTAAAATATTTGCAGAAGAAACCAGATAAAGTTACTTGGTAAGATTTAAAAACTGCAGAAATATTCAGTTTCTAGTCGCCATTTTATTTATTTTTTGAAGAAAGTGATCAGGGTTATGCTTCGTTGCCCCTCCCCCACCTGTTGAGGCACACTCTCATCCTCATTTTGACACATTTATGAGACGTGCATGAGATCGGTGATCTGTTCCAGCTGAGATTTGACCTTTTCAGTCATGGAAACATAAATTCCCGTTTCCACCTCTTCCCGCCTTCTTGATGAAAGTTTCTGCGACGAGGAGTGAGACGAACAACAGCCTGTTGTTCAGAGTCAGACCTACATTTACTTGAGAAACTAAAAACTTAAAAATGTACTTTTAGGAGTATTTTTACTGTTGTGCTTTGAAGCATCATGAAGTATTTCTGCTCTTATTGTGTCAAATTTCTGGATTTTCTGCCTTCTGAATGAAAAACAAACATGTTTTAATCAAAAACAGACACAAACCTGCAGGTTCTGTTAAAGTTTGTGAAGTTTTTTATTGAAAGAATCTGATTTGGAAACATTTTATTTAGTTACGCTAAATAATATTATAATATTATATGAATTATTGTAATTTTTTTGGTCCTTAAAATAACAACATGTACACTTAACATTATATTTTGGTCTTTCTGATGATGCAATTTTTAAATATTAAATGATTGCTCGTTTGATCAGTTATACTTGAATAGACTTTTTACCAAATACTTTTTTTACTTTTATTTGAATAAAGTTATGTTGAAGTCGTAATGGGGTGAAATTAATAAGAAAGCTGAAAATAACTGGAAATATGTTTTAAATCTGATGTTTAAGACTGAGCAAAGCACCAGTGGGGTAAAAGTATGTTGAAGCAGTGCTACTCTTGTGAATTTTAAAATGTTTGAACTGCACTTAGAGGCCACAAAAAATCACCCCAGTGTCCGCAAACGGCCCCCGAGCCTCACTTTGAAGACCCCTGGCTTAGATTATCTGCGATATTGGAGTTTAAGTTTCAGTATTTTCTCTCTCAGTGTGATTTGAACAGACACCTCGCCCCTCCCCGACCTGCTGCTGCGAAGGGAAACGTCCCGGTTGAATGGATGGTCTTTCAAACTGATGGTTCACAACGTTTATTTAATGCCTTTTTTTTTTGTGAACACACCGTAAGAGCTACAGAACATACAAATAAAATACATTAATAACTCAAACAGTGTTGTTTTCACATTTTACTTTAACATATAAATCAATTTTCTTACATTCTGTAATTAAACCTGTCATAAAGTGCAACATATTAACTATTAACGGTTAATCAACGAATATTAGTGCCGTATAATAACGCAACCGTCACACCCAAAGCAAATTACACATTTTACAGTAAAACTAAATATATATTTACATATTAAAACTCTCACCTTGTTCCCCATCAACCAAGCGCCAACCAACTGACTGTTTACACTCTAATGA